GACATTTCATATTGTTTAATGTTGCACCGTAGACAAATGCGCATGCGCAAGCACCATGTCGTGACTAAAGCTCGTGAATAAAGTACTTTAGTCACGACCTTGGTTTCCCGTGTTTAAAATACTTTTTGTGTCTTAAAACCGTGAAAAAACTAACAATTTCAAAGTGGAAGTGGAAAAAAGTTGTTAGGGAATAAGTCGATAAGTTAATTATATTCTATGATTTGATTCTCAAAAAAATATGATACCAATTGCACGAAAATATATAATCCCAGAGGGATAAACAACGAGAATAGACCCCAAAATCCCAGAGGGATATTATCTTTTATTAACTCGACAGCGAAATCGTTTACCAAAATACTGGAAACATAGTCGAACAAAAACAAAGAGCGGTGCCGTACAGATTGATATAATAGATCAATCCGCCGATGCAGTAGCTTCAATCAATATACAATAATGAAATACAACAAACCTATGTTTGTTATAACACTTTGTAAATTTATTCACTTTTGGTTGAAGGGTTAAACCTAAAAAGCACCAATGCGATAAGGATGAGGTCAGGCACGTCTCAAAGCATAACAGTGGCAGAATTCGATAAGAGAATAACCCCAGCCCCGCGCTCTTCAATATTATCATATTATCAGTAAGCTATCAAAAGAACGGAAGAAAAGAGCACTGTTCGCTATACTGTCGGCCCAAATAGCAGAAATTTAGATGATTTGCGAAGGCGGCTGCAGAAATTTTCAAGAACAAAGGCAAACAAAAGTAAATTACAATTTGGAGATCACAGGGGCAAATAAAAACGATGGTCATCAAGAAAATTCCTATCAGATGCTAGCTTTATTCACGAATTTGGTGAGGATATTAAGTATCAAGTTTCTAAACGGGAGTTTTTATCACGAGATTGATTAAGCGCGAGCACAGCGAGCGTTTTTATAATTTTTTATGTTTTTTTACAATTTTATATTTTTGTGTCAAAGTAGAATCCGAGTTGCAAACTCAAATTACATTTTCGGCATACACATTTCTCTTAGTACCTTTTTCTGTTTTTATATTTGTAGTTTTTGCTAATTGGTTCTAATTCACGTACATATACCTAGGTACACTTTACAAATCGCCAGTCTCCGCTCGCAAAACTTCCGACGGGCGCAATCCGTAGCTGCCAGCCTCGGGAATCGGGCTATGCTTCAGTTGGAAAGCTTTGGGCATCGATAATCGCATTTGTTTTATTGAAAGAGTTCCGGTAGCAATGTGCCGGCGGTTAAAATCCGAAAAATGCACTTTCGCAAAGTTTTAGGCATCCATCGGATTGTTATGGATCTCTTAATGTCTTAACACTTCTTTTTGCGCATTTTTTTTGTTCCATGCGAACGAATGCTATTGCCCTGCTGGCGTGCAAATTTTAATACGGCATGCCACGTCGAAGAGTTTATACGTGCGACAGGGGAGGAAACTTTCCAAACGGAACGAAAAGAAGATTAACAAAATACGTGCGCAATTTCAGCAGGAGCGCTGGTACTTGAAGGAACGTTTACTTGCCATCCAAAGCTAAAAAGTGAAAACGACAAAAAAACCACTTGTATCTCCTCGCAATGCGAACGACCACTCGGCGAGTCATGTAAGCGCGGCAGGAAACTGGCTGCAGTCAGCGTCGGTGTCTTCGTCGGGAAAGTTGGGGCTGAAATTCACGTCGGTTTGGTCGGTAGATTTCACTTTGAGTATTTGCTTAACCAACATCGCAGATCGTATTATTAGCCCCGACGTCGGCGGCCGCGGCGGTGCGCGGGCGAGGATGAGGCGAAGTTGCGCCAACTAACGGAGAGTGCCTCACCGCCGCCCACCGTTGCCCAGCTTATAAATTATGCATAGTCCACAGATTAGCGGTGTAGTTTGTATAATTTAATATATTTGTATTATGATTTCATGGGGGATTCGTGCCTCATGCAAATACCACACACCGGGACAAGTCTTCAGTCAGTGGCTGAAAATTATTACCGAGATGTTCATATTTCACGCAATATATCGCGATCGCCATCATTCCCAGCGCGACAAAAGTGTTTCATTGTCCATGTAGACCGACCGATTACACAAACGCGAAATTACGCGCCCGCCTTCGAGCAATTTTCTGGTTTGCTGTGTGCGCGTGTTCGTCCAGGAGTCGCCGGCGAGAAATTTGTAATGCATATTGAGTTAAACGATAAAACGAGGTAATATAAATGGAATAGATTACGAATATAGCACGCGGCCGGTTGTGGCAGAAGCAGCGAACACAACGAGTTGATTAAATTATACTCGTGTTATATTTAATTGCGTCGAGACATCGCGGCAAACGCGGCGAGGTTGGTTCCTTCCTCCTCCGCGCGCGTACAAAAACCGCTGTTGACGAGAAGGAAGCGAGCTTGATAAAAAGCTAGCAATTAAAAGAACAATGGTAATGAAATATTTTAAGGTCGGCCGTCGTGGCAATGCATTTCATGATTTTCATCTCGGCGCATTGTTCCGGGATGCGGACCTACCGAAGTACAACACACCGACACCCCATTTTCGGTTTCTTTCAAGTTGGCGGGGCTAAAAACGCGCCGCGAGTGCAGAAAACAGCGACATTAAATCACGCCCGAGTTTCTTTCGGCGCGGAGCGATGCACTCGTTCGAAACAATGGAGTTGCCATCAGCATTGCCTTCGACCGGCGCGCCGCCTCCACTGCCGGAAACAAAGAAATCGCGCGAGCGCTACGGTGCGATGTGCCGCGGGCCGTTCTCGCGCCCTCATTGTTTCCACCGACGAAGAATATAATAATTAATCTTCTTCTCACTTCGCACTTAATGAATGCTAATGGTAACGCCGATGGTGCCTTGCGATGCAAACTTATTATGGTTTTGTTTTTGTTTGTGTTGATTTTTTCCCGACGCGCGTATTCACGAAATAATACCATCAAAGCCCCGCTATTACGCGTCTGGTCTTTCAATGCGATTACAACACGCCGCGTAAAGAAATTATGTAGCGCTGATTCTTTACGAAAACAAGCGGGATCTTAATTGACATTTGATTTAACATAACAGTTTGCATTAACTTACACGAAACTGTAGCGCGGGGATTATTGCGGGAGGCGAATGAATAGAAAACTAAGGCAAATAATTCCCGCGTTCATAAATATAAAGTTTCCATTTTCTCGATAACACAAACAATGGCTGTTCTTAGAGCTGGCGGGGATTGAAGCACAGACTGCGAGCGCGTTATGCATTTTATGCAAATTTCGCGTTCTTTGCGCGCAGCCGAAACACGAAGAATAAAGGCCCGAGCGAAATGTGATTGTTAGTTCGTCATGTAACCATGGTATTTTCTCGATTCCTTCACTCTTTGACACAAGGCGACCTGGCGACCTTACAAATAAGGCGCCAATTGTAAATATTGCTTGTTAACAATATGTGATGTTCTTGGAAACCTAAATTCTAAGAAACAATTGCGTTTTTATTGAATTTAGTCATCAGTTACCGTCAATATCAAATAATTATTTCAATATGCAAAATTTATACTTTTGATACGTTTTGATACTACGCTTGTTTGTTTTAATTAACTTTAGTGTTTCTATCGGCCATTATTTTCAACTTAAGTGGAGTGAAACGAGTTGACAGTTAAAGTTTATATTTACGTTGCTTTTGTTCGCTGCTTCGTCCGCGTAGATTTTAATAAAAACTATGCTAAATATGTAATTAGTTTCTTGTTTCTTGAACCTATTATGTGCCCACTCCGCCAATAAGATTTTCCATTCAGTTTTAAAGAAATTAGGAAAGCTAGTAATTCACTTTAGATCCGTCGCAGCTTAAATTATATAACTACAACTGTTTAAACACGAAACAAATTTACAACTTTTACAATTTTCATCGCTTATTTTACATCTATTAAAGTTATGATTATTTGAAAACGTGTTTGAATAGGAAACTTACAAAGTCAAATGTTAAGCACAAAAACTATTAGGTTCTGATTCTAGATATGGATCAATTTGATCATCATTTAGTAAAGCCCTTCACTTGGTGTTAAATGTCAACTAACTCGTGGAACGCATATGCTACAACCCTTTCGGGCCGGTTCATAGTTGATATTTAATAATTTCGGTTCGTTGCGTGTGGCCCGCCACCCCTCTAGGCCACCGTTGCATCCGCACCCCGGAGCCGGCATTCTGCATTCTTCGCCCCTACGAAACGTCGGGAGGTAAAATTTTGCGCGCGCAACTAAATTAATTAAAACTTAAGACCTCCGGTTCCGCTCGGCGAACAACTTTCCGAGACAATTTCATTTCCTTTTCCGCAATTTTAATTCAATTATAACGCTTTTACAATATTTCCTAGTCGCTCCACGGGTAAACGAATAATTCCATTTTGAATTCGATTTTTAGCCTTGTATTCTTTCAAGGCTCGCGGGCGGCGGCGCAGGCGGCGGCGTTCAAACACAGCCCGCACAATTCGCACGCCGTCAAAACGCGAGTAAAACATCGGAAACAATTTCTGAGCACGCCGTTTTATGCGGCAATTTGCGAAGTTGTTAATTGGTGCATTTGTCGAAATAATCTGCATTAAATTAGAATTTGTGATGTTGAAATTTTCTGTATTGTTAACAATTCAATTCGAGAACAGTAATTTGATTCTGCTCGATTTCAATGATTCATTATAGGCAACTTTGTGTGCACGAATAAGGTTTTCACGTGTTGTGAAACAACTTGTTATTGACACAGGTGAAGGCCTGCAAGAAATGATGATAAATTATGTTGTAGTACTTTAAGATAGGCAAACTTATATACATGAAAATAATAATTCAGCAAAGTAAATAGCCTTGTCTAGAGAATCTAGTTGAATGTTTCATAATTCACTGCGTAATAACATGTTGTCAAACATCCATAATTTACCTTATTTCTTAGAGAATAAAAAATGTTGTAAATCAGTTCTGATATTTACTTACAGTTCAGTGATTCTATTAGTTAAATACTTTGCCTCAAGTACTAGAATCATTTAAAAACATATCAATTTTATTTTCTTAGAAAAATACATGAAATTGCGATTTAACGATCTTTTGGCATTTCCAATGAATAAACTATGTACTTATAAAGAAACGTTATCTTGTATCAAAACTTCACTTAAGCATTACAAATGTAGCAACATGTAACTATTTCCAATTGACAACATTTAACTACGTATCAAAAATAATTACAAACAATGTAACTTGCCAAGACTGTAAATGTTTAACAACAAACAATAGTAGAATAAAATAATAGAGAAGTCACGTAACGTAGACGAAGAGCAACACAGCTGCTGCGACTCGTAATCTGTTACCCCAGCAAATACATTTTAAATCACAAAATATCCGCCCCTGTTTTCGATTTAGCAGACTTGAAATTGTTTGACAAACTTTTAGGTGTGGCGTTTGTCATCCCTGGAGGTTTCTAGAATCTAGTCCAAATTGGCATCTTGGTGATGTAAAAATTTCAAATCAAAATTCACGTTCATGAAAATAAGATGATTGACGATTTGTACAAGCGTGAATTGATGTGAATATTCATTAACCTAACGATTGCAAATTCTCTGCCTGCTCAATTTGAATAAAATTAACAATGCTAAAGAACCAACAATCACGCAAGTAAGCTGTTTGTCTTATGGTAATATTTAAATGCGCATTTTTCGTGCTTCCAAATGGATTCTGGAAAGCATATTCAGTAGAGCTAAAGTAATGACCTTGGGAGTAACGGATATATAACGTGGGTCGTCACTTGGAACAGCGCTATTCAAATAATTTCGGAAAATTGACGAGGTCAATGCCGTGCTCAGTAGCAATCCATCGTATTGACATTTCCGTCGTAATTCTTCGTCATGTCATCCAGGAGCGACTCAAAGTCGTCCAATTTGTTCAGCCACATGACCTTCTCATTGATCATTGCATCCAAGTCGTTTTGTATGAACGTTATGAATATGTCAGGAGTTATTTCCTTCAACTGCTCGGATACTTTCCTCGTCTGTTCGGAGTGAAGCGGAGACACCTCTTGCGTGAACATGTGTTTGAGCAAGTTTTCGTCGTTTGTGTCGAGGATGTCGTCCAACGTCGCTTCGGATAAATCAATGTGTGGTTGTGGCGCCGGCGATGTTTTCGCATTTGTGCTGCACAAATTTTCAGGCAGAGGAACATTATCATACATGTCGAACATTTTGTGCATTTGGAGGATATTTTTCATCTTTTTCACTTTGCGCAGTGACTTCTTGCTCACTTCGAGATCGCAGTCCTCGTGAATGGCATAGATGAGCACACCAAGGCAGCCAATTTCACTCAACTGGTCGAGAACTTTGGTGAGACGACGCTGCACCTCGTCTTCGGTAAGCGTGACGATTTTGCGCTTCTCCCTAGAAAAAGTAACGCTGGGGAACTTGTTGTCAATGTAGCCCTGCTCCTGCATGTGATTCAACACCACCTTGCCCCAAAAATCGAGCGCATTAGACTTCACCTCCCAGTGCAAGTCTTTAGCGGCAGCAAGTGCCATCGATTCGTAAATTTCGCCCATCAGGTCATTCTGAAAGGATTGAAATTCGTGGATTTTCGACATCAGCTTTGCTGCTTCGGTCCGGACGATTGCTTCTGGCTCGTAATTGAGAATGTGCATTATTTTTTGCTGCGAAGTCAAAATTATCACTCAATAATTTACACAATTTGACTATGATTGGGCATAACAAAAACTTACAGGCAATTCCTGATTGACAAGCAACTGGCTCCATATCTCTTGAACCTGAATCATTTCTTGTAGGCATTTGATGGCGGTAGCCCGCACAAAGCCAGACGAATCATGCATGGTCATTGTGACAATCATTGGAATAATATTTACATTGAGTAACATTGTTTGGAATAGTGGATATTCTAAAATACACGCGTTTTTTCTTCTTCAAAATTCTGACAAACAAATGCAACCCTGACTTACTCGAATTCGAAATATTTGCAATTGTATGTAATATTTCCAGCGTGCTGTCCCGGATCTCCCAATGGCGGTCGTATAGTTTTGCAGTCAGCATACTACCCAACATACTGGTAGTGGAGTCCTCTTCAACCAACAATGCTAAATCCGGAGGCAAAAATTTGGCAATTGACAATTCCACTAGTTTCAACGCATGTACAACCACCTAACATAAAACATTAAAAAAAGAGTTCATTACAAAACCTGGCAGGAAAAAGATATTCATACCCTTGCTGGCCAGAATGATTGATTAATGCACTCAATCGCATTATTCATCACACAGAGCGTCTCCACACTATCCCGCCAAGTAATATCGTACTTATTAATAAACGCAGCCATCGTCTGGAACAGGGTGATCATGAAGCTATCATGCTGTATAAACAACTCAATAAGCGTCGGTTTCTCTTTCAGTCCAATTTGAATATCCTTCAACGTGTAGAGCAACACTTGAAAGATCGTAATCGCACGACTCTTATTGAAATTATCTATCGAGCGCAACACGTGCTGAGCGGCAAACTTCGCCATCTTAAAGCCTTCGGTTTGCTGGTGCAGGATATCCCTCCAGCTGTATCCCATGCGGATTGTCCGCTCGTGCAACATGCGAAAAAACGAGTGGATGAAATCTTCACGCAGATCGTCCGACTCGTCGTATCGATAGTTGGTGTGCAGGAAGCAAATGCCAAAAATGGCTGTCACTTCAAAGAGAAGCAGTTGATTCTGAAAGCGCAGCGGTTCGCGGCCATTGTATTCGGAAGACGCTGTTAGTAGCGGTTGCCCAGCACGCGCTTCGGGAAAATGATTCCAGAGGGAGTCTGACAAATGTGCCAGTCGTATTACAACTGGAATATACCGCACGCAAAGCAACTCGTTGATAAAACCCATCAACTCAACGCCAGTGGTGTAAAAGTCTTCATAAGGTGTTTCTTTGCCTTTTACGAGAAGGTGGAAAACCTTTATGTAGATCAACACCGCGTAGAGTTCATAGACGCGTTCAACTTCATTCGTAATCGATTTGAGTTGTTTGATTCGCTCTTCCAGAATGTTATCCGCGAGTAGAATGTTCACCGCCCGATAGTCACCCTTTTTGTTCTCGTTTTCTATGAGCTGGTTCAGGATGTAAATCACAAGATGCAGCGCAGCTGTGCATTTCTGTTCTAAGCCACTTTCAACAACAAGTTGCTGATACAAGGAGCTTTCATTCACAGGCACTCCTTCCAGTTTACTGTAGATTTCAGCAACTACCAACTTACAGAAGTCTTCATGATTCACTACTGTCTTAACTATCAAATTGTAAATGAAAGAATGGCCCTCCTGAATGATATACACTGTTTCATTATCTAGACAGAAGTTGAGACAATTCCTCCAGATGTTGTTGGACATGATCCACTCCAAGCCAGAGCTGTGATTCAGGAAAGAAGACAATATTCTCAGATAAGCCAACTTGATAGTGGGCTGGACTCCCTCATTTTGCATCTTGAAGAGGATAAATAGTCTTTCGTAGACATTTCCAAGGCTGTAGGTGACAAATGTGGTCTCATCTTGTGATAGCAGTGCTGTCAAGTTTAAGACAAATGAACATATGCAGTTGTTTGCTAGTTTCTCAGCCTCCCACTGGCTCAATGCGGTGGGAATCCATGAAATAACAACTTGTGATTGAAGGAATTGATTTGCCACTGGAAGCAAGCACACACGAATTTATTTCTCTGCTCATGTGTGTGAAATTGATGATCTCAAAATGTGTAATCAGACTAACCTTTATTTTCTCCATTGGACAAATGTGATAACAGCTTATTCAAGAGCGTGTCGTTTTGAATGGTAAAGCTTGGCGTAAGAATCAGCTGCAACAAACATTTTAGTTTTTCTTCGCAAGTCGACGATTGTTGTGGTGACGCTTCCATATTCGTCAAGTGCAATCGGTGGGAAACGAGCGAATTGTTTTGTTGATTTTGTTATGAGACTTGGCCAGCCGCAGAGGGCATTGCGGGCGATCGTGCGCCACTTGTCTTCGATATTTATTGGAACTTGTTAATTAATACGTCACCATGCGATAACTTGTTTAGCGCAACAAATTTGACCAACACGTTCCTCTATGTAGTACGCCAAGCAAAACTAACAAACCACACAGCTAAGAAACTAACGGAAATCAAGCGGCTGAAACGGAACTGAACGAAATGAAGGCAATCCTACCGAAGCTGTCGAATAATGCTGTCAAAACGAAATTTTAAATTTGTTTTGACAGAGCCTCTGATTACATACATTACGTACCTGCTTTCAAGCGAGACGTATTTACTCGTTTCCATTTGCTTACTTGCTAGTACTACATTGATGTATGTACAAAACAACATTCATTAACATCGAATGCGCTAATGATTGCTTGGTCGTCTACCATAAAGTAACCTGACGTTTTTACAGCTGATTTAGATTGGTGCATCGAACGCATCTGGTACCTACGTACGCAGAAATCGAAATTTAAATTATTAGAACAATTTACTAACATAATTTTAATTTGGCATTGCCAAAATGAGTGCAGAATCAACAGGCAGCGCTATTCTCGATCAATATCGCTCCATATCAAACAAATTGAAAAGGTAAATATTAAATAATTTTAATTAACCTGTATAACATTGAATTCCATGTTTAATCTATGAACAAATGTGATTTGCAGGCGATTTCTACGCAAACCAAATGTTACAGAAGCTTGTGAGTCATTCACAGTTTTAGGACAACATTGTGAAAAGGAAGAACTGCCCACATATGCAGGGTTGTGTTGGATTGCAGCTGCACAATGTGAAGGCTCCTTGGCCAACATTCCTGGTGAAACGGCCTGTTTACGTCGTTCAGCACAACAATTCCTAGCATCTGAGATCAAATCTGTGAGTCTTGGCTGTCCTACACCTTCCAATGAGAATCTAAGTGCTGCTTTAAGTTGCTATGCTCATGCAACAACAAGATATCCAGAAAACAGTCAAATCTTGGCTGTCAACATTCACCTGGAGATTGTGGAAGCTTTGAAAAAGCTGAAATACACTGATAAAGTGGAAATGTATCTGAAGAATGCTGTGAAACTGTCAGATAATTCTCTGGAGATGCATTTATATTGCCTAGAGAATTTGGGTGGTTTTTATATTTCATGTGGTGATTATGTATCTGCCCTGGATATTTTTACTGAGTTGGCGAACCTGATTGAAAGCACACCGTCCAACGCAGCCCGCCGCGATATTTTATTAATGTGTGAGATTAATCGGGTCTTGATGTTGCTGATTCTACGACCAGTGCCACAGAGTTTATCGGTGGATTTAACACGTATTCTAGAAAAGTACACCTGGAATCAAAAAATCGACAAGTCGCTGTCGCAACTTGGCATGAGCGACGCTTTCTTTTTGTTATTGCAGTCTTTGGTGCTAACCTGTCAGGCAAATGATGTGACCTGCACCGCACATTTGGAGAATGAGCTGTGGCAGTTTCTCAACGCACAACAAAAGGATTTGTTGAGAGTTTTACTTCAGATTTACAAGTAGCTGATGTTTTTATCCTTAACATTCTTTGAATCCTGTTGCAGTTCATTTAAATTATGATGTTTATATTGAACCTATTGTATCGTATCGATATTATAGTATTATACAGATGCTATTTGGGATTTCTTAATATCTAAATCGTATTTTTATGCCTCGGGACAAATTCGGGTAAAAGTTAATATATAATTAAGAATCAATCGTAAGGATAAGTTGTTAGATAAGATCAACAAAGCACATGATTAAAAGAAATAAAAAAAGTACTAGTGTATTGTTTTAATTAATGAGCATAAGACAAATTAATGAATTGATAAAGGCAAATATTTAATTGACAAAGCATCTTTAACTTTTCCGAGTTGTATTGTGCTGCTACGGCGACTGAAACGTAATTTTTTATTCATTTAATAGTGATGTGCGCAACTCGTCTCGCACTAGGGGTTACTAACAAATTCTTGATTACATTTGTAATATTGCAAGCTTAAAATGCTTTGTCACTATTATTATTATTCACTTAAATTGATAAAATTAAGTTTCGATTTGTTTCAACTTTTCCATTCGTTTTTTGCTATGCGCATGCGCTGTCTTACAGAAAACACGGTATAACCCGAATACATTCCCGCGTTTCGTCGTGCTGTGCTCCATGGGTTCTGTTTTTATGGTTCTGTTCTGTTTATTCTATAAAGAAGCTACTGGAAGCTGCGGTCATAGTTAATTTCGCAAGGAAATGTTTGCAGCTTCATCTGTGTTATTATTATAAAATAAAATCATTTGCACTAATATTAAGAAGCATCGAATAGTAGCGATGGAGCCTAAAACATTTGTGAGTACAGCACAATTCAAGTTTGAATATTCAGGTTAACTTTGTACTTGTATTTTAAAAACCGTTTTTCTATTGTAGCTTATTCCCGATGAAATGTGCCGGCGAGCCGGTATTTCCGGTCGCTTTCTATCTGTAAGCGAAATCGGCGTTTTTCCAAGTCAACAAGTACGGCCATCATCAGTAGATACACCATCTTCATACAAAAGTACAACAGAAGCTAAAATCTACCACATTCGATCAGAAGTTATCCTCTTTCATCCTGTTCTCCGGCGATTGATAAATGAAGCCTGTGTTATTTTTGTCCAACTACAAAAGTCCCTGGTAACACAATTAAATAGTCAGGCACTGTTGCAATTCAGCATTCAGTATCGCTGTGTAATTCGTGCATGCCTAGAAAACCTCAAAGAAGAAGTAATGCGCACGAATGGCGTGGAGAAAGAAGAACTTCAAAACTATGTTACAATATTTTACTCAATTGAATGTGTCTGGCATCTGTGTGAGATCCTCTACATCCAAACAAATGTTATGAACACAATTGGAACCAGATTGCTGGAATGGGTACGTTTCCATATCCCAAAATATGAACGCGCTGCAACACGCATATTACAAAACTATGGCACAGGTGTGGAGAGTTTGGAGGAGTACTGGCCGACGGTAATCGGCTGCTTACTACACGGCCGTGTTGACGAGGTACGTCTATTACTCAGCATGCATACAAACGCGGGTATGACATCTTTCCGTGCTGTGGAGGCGTCGCTGAAAGCTATGCCGACACATGCGCTGATTGTCGGTGGCATGCCCATCACAGAGTTCAATCTCCGGCGGAAGCATTGGCTGGTTGACACACAGTCAAAGATCGACGCGCAGGTTTTCAACGCTGAGCCACAGCTTTCCTTCATTATTCGACTAGTAGTCGGCGAGGAGTTGGCGTGGAATGAAGTGCGGAAGCACTGTGAAACATGGTATGAACTTTTGGCGGCGTGGTTGTTTTACACGGATCCGACACTGCGCACGTTTGAATTATCGCGTTACACTCGGAGGTGCATGCGCAGGATGGGCACAACTATGAAACAAATTGATGTGATTTTACTGGCGGCGATGGAAACCGATGTTGAGGTATAATAATTACTTAGCAAATCGTACTTGAATTATTTTATCTTTGGTTTGTAGTTTTTGAAACAAATTCAGAATATGAACGAGAATGGTTGGTTTATCACGCATCTTGTTGATTTGTTATATCATGCTCAACAGTTAGATATTTGGAAGTCACATGAAACGTAAGTTAGCTTTAAACTATATTTATTGCTTTTAACTCTGAAACGAAGTTCTCTACGGAGCAAATAACGGCTTTCTTGACTAATAGTACCCTGACCGCACAATATTTTGTTTTTATTCTGTTTTTAGAACGATAGCACATCTGCGAGAGTCTTTTATTCTTGAATACGGGTCGCTACTGATGTGTCACAACTCCTTGTGGCAAATAGGCCTCAATTATCTTGATCACTGCCCTGCACAAGGTGTCTCGGCGATGGAGTTGCTGCTGCCACGGGTTGCTCGCACTGAAGCCAAAACACAGAAAGCCATCAGGGAGGCAACGAAGCGAAAATTGTTTTCTGTTGGTGGGTGAAAAAATACAGCATTTTATAGTTTAATAAGTTGAAAAATTGCCTATATTCACTCAATATCAAGTTTGGATTAATGATATCACTGTTATTAATATGCATTTTTAATTTTCAAGTTCAAACATTGGCTAAAATTCAATGCAGACAATGTATACGCATGAATCGCCACGGTAATGCACTCGTCTGGGCGCTAAAAGCACAAGACGTCGAATGCATCTCGCACCTGGTGAATCACACTCTCCGGCAGATTAAAGTCAGTTATGCATTGCCGCACGAAGATCTGCTGAGCAATCTCGGTGCTTGCATGTTTGCAAGTGATAGTTTGATCTTTCTCGCCAAGTATTACGACTATCGCCATCAAATGGACAAGAAGAATCATGTCGATGCAGCAAATATTCTTGTCGGCTTAATTGGGTCTAAATTTACTCCGAAATTGTGAGTATTTGCAACGGGACTCAGACTTTATACTTGCAATAAATAAATAAATTGCGCATGTTTTAGTTTCTGGGATGTGATGCTAACGGAAACGCTCACTTTGCTTGAGAGTAAAGAAATCACAATTGACGCGAATTCATCGCTCGTCATCATGAATTATCTGGATGATCGTGCCGATCAAGTTGAACTGAAGGATAAACTTAATATGATTCGTATGGCACTGGCAAGGAATATGTCTAGTGTGCTCGCACAACAAAGACGAATCATTTAGAACATTTTGTGCGTGTTCCGTTGTTCTTGGCATTTATATAAGCGAAGCGCATTAAAAGATTTTAAGTTTAAACATATTCCTGTTTTATTTTCAGCCAAGATATCCTGTACGCGTCGAAAACTTAAAAATATAATATCGTGTGTATCCGGATACCGAAAATGAGGGTAATTGTAAGAAGTTGGAAAAACTAGTTGCAAGAGATGTCCGATAGGTGTCGCTAGCGATCTGTGGATGATCGTGGCGTTTGACTGGTAACTCGGAAATGCCCGGTTGTGTCCGATCCGAAAATGCACGATGATACTTATTTTCAACAATAACTTTTCTCAACAAAAGGCTGTTCCTCTGTTAAAATGGACAGATGTTCCCGGTGACATGAGTACACAACTTTACAATTTTACAACGTTTACAATTAAGAAAAGTAACTTTAGTATTGGTGCACAAAGTAAAAGTTCCTAGATACGCGACGGCCATTTTGAAAGTAACCGAGAATGACTAGTTTCATCATCATGTTGTCGGAGTGTGGGTCGGGCTCGCGAACGTAAAGGAAAAAAAAGCGCGTCTGGGCAAAGCCAGGAGGGACTCGTAACGTCAAGCCCAGTCGAGCCCTTCGTGCACACTTTTGATCAAACTCGCCTCGTCAACCGATGGTCAGTGCACCCTGCGTCCATATACATTGTGATAAGTTGCTGGACGGTGCCAGTGCGCGGAGCGTTTGTTGTGCCAGCAGTCTCACTTCAACAGGCTCAGTGATAGCGGGACAGGCGTGGAACATCCCAACCCTTATGTGAGTATTCCAGCATGGAGCGCACAGGCAGCGTTTCTAACGATCTACCCCGCTTGTCTGCGCTTGCATGCTCATGCTCGGCAATATCCGCACGCAGATGGAATGAAGTCGTGGCCCGTTAGTTTAGTGCCGTGCAACCGTAGAGAGGATCAGCTATACCGTTCCGCGCGGTCATCGGCGCGGCGCGCATCATAGCGTTCACCAGCCGACGTCGATCCTAATCTAATCTAAAACCAGCGCGTATCGGATCATATGATTCGGGTGTGAAGTGCGATGATGGTGACTTGGTCGTGCACTCGTGCTCGGTGTTGCTAAATTTGTTTTGTGGCGTTTCGTTTCGGGATCGCGCGCGCTGTTTACCGTCGTCTGCGAGCAATCCGCGCACGGAGTAAACAAAGTCAGCGTATTTTTAGGTGACAAAAACAATATTTTTACACCCACTGGTGTGTCTTTTGTGCGGTGGCAAGAACCCCGTATTGTTTCTGCCGAAATCGATAACAATTCGCATTTAACCCGCGGCGATAGTTTATATTTATATAATGTTTTGTTTATACGTGTCGTGTACAGTGGCGCAATGTAAGCATTGAATTGCGATATGTCACGGGTGTGATAGAACATCAAGGAGGCCAGGTAATTTACAACTAGGCTCGACCTTCGTCTACTTTCTTATCATTTGCAAACTATGCAAATCATTTGGACAAACACGGTCAGATCTTCACCTGCCGTCTGCTTTCAATGTCATTTCTAGATGATGCAGCTGCATTGAGTAATTTTTTTTGTAAAATTTTGTTTATTTTCACAAATAATGCATGGTTTTTTAAATTTCTACCAGGAAATAATCGTCATTATTATTATATTTTATATGGAGGTAAGCTGTTGCCAGAGCTGACTGTATTTTAAGTTGGAAAGTAGATACGTCCTTCGTAAACCGCTTATCACACCGTGACTATTATCAAAAATTTAATGTGGCTGTTGCGTCGGTATAGTTAACGAATAAAATAGCGTTTCCGGCCTTCGAATTAAGACTATCTCGTGCATACTGAGAGTCCGTCTAGCCATGTTCGAATGCATGTGCAACCAGTTTATCGCAAATGATTCGCAAACTGCAATAAAAAGTCGCGCGTGACGAATAATACTCTAGCATCATTCATCAAAAATTTGTTTGATTGCGCACACACTAAGTGTCGAACAAGTCATGTTGGCGGCGATATGTTTACGTAAATTCACCTAAAATTTCTTTTTAATTTCAGTGCGCGAATAGAAAGCGAAGGCCGCATGCGAAACGAGCCGTTGTAGTGTTGTGGACGCTTACCGCCGCTTCCCCCCCGTTCTGCATGCATGAAATAATAATTAATTTCGACGATTTGATAGTTTACCGCACACCTTGTTAATTCTAGATTGTATTTCCCAAAACGCACTTGTAACAAGTTTGAAAAGTAAGTGTGGCGCTTGGTAGACGCGCTGGAAGGGCGACGCTAATTTTTCTCTTGCCACACGCAGATGCGACGCGGAGGAGAGATGCAGGTGAATGTGGCCGGCCTGCGACGCAACCTCAAGAATCTCGCGCACAACTACTCGGACGCCCAGCGCAAGGTGCGCGAGGCGACCTCCAATGATCCATGGGGCCCCAGCAGCACCATCATGGCGGAGATCTCCGATCTCACCTACAACGTGATGGCATTCAGTGAGATTATGCAAATGATATGGAAGAGGTTGAACGATCACGGCCGCAACTGGAGGCACGTATACAAGGCGCTCGTCCTGTTGGAGTATCTCATCAAGACGGGCAGCGAGAAGGTGGGTCAGCAATGTAAGGAGAACATATTTGCGATACAGACCTTACAAGACTTCCAGCACCTCGAGGAAGGTATGTCTGACCAACTAATGCGCTTTGCGTACATAATCTGATTAGGTTCGTAATGCGCATCGATTTGACGTGTTTGCGTGTGTTTCCAGGCAAGGATCAAGGGCAGAACGTGCGCGAGAAAGCGCGCCAGCTGGCGCAGCTACTACAAGACGACGAGCGACTACGCACCGAGCGCGCCAAGGCCATCAAGGCGAAAGAGCGCCTCGCGAAGCAGCCGTGTGCGTTCGGGAGCGATGGCGGTTTGGACACACCGACCAGCCCCAAGTATCCGCCATTCCGCGGTGCAGAATGGAATAATAGCCGAGACTCCGGCAGCGAGCTGCCGAACGACCTGGAGATGGCGCGCCCACAGACCGCAGGCGAGGAGGATCTTCAGCTGCAGTTGGCGATTGCTATGTCAAAGGAGGAGGCCGAGCAGGAGGAGCAGAAGCGACGCTCTGATGACGTGCGGTTGCAGCTCGCGCTCAGTCAGAGCCAGCAAGACTTCAAAACTACACAGGACAAGCCAAGCGCCATGCTGGATCTACTAGACGTCAGTCCCGATGAGGCTGCGGGCAACAAGAACGTAGATCCCTGGGGAATGCCACAAATACCTAAACCGCAGGTATGAATTTAATCTTGATTCTCGAAACTGTTATTATTGGCATTTATTACATTGTCTCTTGTGTATATGTATAGTTGGGGTTCGGCTCAATATTTCTCGATCACCCTTTTAATATGTCCACACAGTGGGTAAGAATTGAACCTGGAGTTTTGTGTTGCTTTCTTCTAAGATGTGTTGAAATAATCAATTATCGTAGGAGTAGGACTCAGCGCGGCGTAAATTAAAAATAATAGCTATAGCTTGCAAGTGCACATTTTAATATTTGATGTGTGTTATAATGTTGTATGTTTTTTTTTTACAGAATACCTCTAGCCCATGGCATACAAATACGGCGGCTTCACCGCCAGCGGCAACGAGTGACCCTTGGGCACCAGCGTTGGCATCAGGCGGCGCAGCAGCAATGCCTATGCCAGCGGTGGCGCCTATGCCTGCAGACCCGTGGAGCCCTAAAGCAATATCCACTCCTTTGGTAGAGACAGCAATACGGAACGACCCATGGTCGCCGGTCAGTCAAAGCTCCTCCGACTTGGACGACTTTGACGCAATCACGAACCGCAATCGGACAATATCACCCACCTCCGACGTCACACACAACAACGGTACTACAACGAATAACAATTCAGGTATGAATCGTTAATTCTATTTACGTGTTCATATTAATGTCAAAATGCTGTTTTTTTTTTCATTGGTTAGATCCGTTTGAGTTGAATTTACTCGGGGACTCTCTACCAATTACATCGGCTGGCCCCAGTCCCTCGACGGGAGCGACCAAAAAGACGCCGCAGTCCTTCCTGGGAGAGAATTCTGCGCTTGTCAACTTGGACAATTTAGTAACAAGTAGGTTTTGTTTATGGAACAATTGGGCTGTGTTTAAACGCCACTCGGGTTGTTGCTAAAGTGATTACTTTCCTGGTTGGGCTTTGTGTTGGTACAGGTAAACCAGCTAATCAAATGAACACGGCGAATCCGTTCTCGGAGACGACGCAACCGCCGCGCCCTGTCTTCAATCCGCAGCCGCCAAAACCTACGATGAATCAGATCAAGCAGGCGCCGTTCATGGCGGCGCCCCAGCTAGGCAGTACGCCGCCGTATGCTAGTAACTTCAACAACCAGTCGCCGGCATTTGGCAATTCCACAGCGCCTTACCCTACGAACGGCGCATTCCACGCGGTGCCGCAGCCGACGCCGGCCGTCGACCCGTGGACACCGGTACCGTCCAGCAATTCTACGGCTAGCGCCTCGCAACTGGGCGCACCGTGGATGAAACCAGGTGAACACGCGAACCCTTTCCTGTCCTAAGAAGCACTCTGTGTCCCCAATTTTAATTTTACACAAACTCCCCCAACCGCCCTGCCTTCGATGTTGTGCGGCATGTATTTTTGAAGAACGTATTTTAATTTTTATCACGCCGGTATTGGACCGGCTCAGCGAGAGAATGATGAGATTTCACCATAAATATTTACCTATAATTGCATAGAGCTTTATCCGTTACTCATGTTTCTTCTCGTTTAAATACGACGAGGATCGCCGATTATTTATATTTGATCAACGCGGTGAAGAGGTAACGAATGCAACATTTTATTTGTGACTTGTGTCGCACTGGACGGGTGTCTATAAATTTGTTCAATGCGTTTGTTGTAGATTTCGTTTATATTCATTTCCATTAGGATTTGTTTAGTTTCCGTTTGCTGCATGGTCTGTGCATGGGCCAACGACTCGTAGTTTTGAACGGCCTGTCGAGCCAGTCATCATGTCTAACCCCCCGCTCAACATTTGTTTCAGGTTATACGTTCTAAACACCCACTAACACTAACTAACTGCACTCAAATTGACACCTAAAGTAATTGTCTATGATTAAAAAAAAGATTGAAGCGAAACAAAAGCGAGCAGAACTAACAAAGAAGAACTGAACCGAGGCGACGCTGTGCGAAATTAATTCAGCATCGATTATCATCGTATCAATTATTGTGTTTGTATCGTTTTACGAGCATTGCAAACCGACATCACTAATCAAAGTATTTTATGCATTTATTCCATTTTATTGATTCATTATCTATTTTCTTGTGCATTGTACAAGTGAAGGACATCACCCTATCTATACCTTGGTCGTTTCCTGGCCTAACGAAAAGCGCGTGACGAAATCTTTGCAACGCTTGAGGATTATTTGTGCGAGGATGAAATAGCAAAGTTAACATAACACAACTGCAATACCGTTTTAAAATTTAAGTAGGCAATTTCAGCTTTATATTCGTGCGCATTATATTTCATGCGACTAAACAAAACTAATTGTAATCCTTGGAACGATGGAAGTGCACTTGTTGAATTATTTTAAATGTTTAACGTTTTTGGAGCACCCTCTCCTCGATAAAAGGCGCAGACAAACGAAATCTATACGAGCGAAGAAAACAAGCAACCAAACACCAAAATTTCATTAGGCGTACATTTTAATATTGCTAAACCCTTTACATAAATGTTGTGTTTTAATTTGATATAAGAGGATGAGCCGAGGAGATAGAGAAAAAAAAATGAACGCATTGTAATATTAATTATTCTACAATATGATTACTAATAATGGTGCAAAGTTATTTATATATAATATATATATACATATATTTATATATGAACTTATAATTATTATAATGAATTACATAATGTGTTATCAAGAATCAATTATTTAACGAAACAATTTATCGAAGCACGAAAGTGCTTCGATTCCAAGACATGCAATTATTTGTCGATCAGTTTGTGTTTCCAATAGCTTGCACGGCGCGTCAACAACCTACTTGTGAGGTCGGTTCGCGCGCTCCTATGCACTATGCTTTTCGAACACTGTTCTACGAATAAATTTGGCAATTCATTTTCTTACTTGATTGAATAAATTATTGTGATTTTTGTATTATATATGTACTGTTATTGTGGGCTGCTTTGTGAGAAACCATCGAAACTGCTCAAGAATCCAACGTTACGAATTTACTACTCGCATCCGATATTGGAGAATGAAGACTACAGGACGAAGACATCGCAAATCTAACTCTTACCACCCAAAAGCGCGCGCGCATACCAGTTGAGTCCTAATTGCAACCGAGTGGCGTTGTAATTGTAAATCAACCGATTTTATAATTATATAAGTAGAAGTCAATTTTATATCACGTTATTCTTTCCGCAGCGTGTTTTCATCAGTTGTCTCCAAGTTGAATCACTTGTAAAATGTACATATGTAACTGTCTTTGCCTTTAACACCTAGAAATCATACATACGCTCGAAATATACATACAGTCAATAGGAATATATTACAGAGCGCAACGAATTGCACTGTTATGTAACTGAATCCGAACCGTCTGTGACTGCTTTTCTACGAGTGGTATATATTTGTCGACCATCATTTCATTAGCACCCATTAAACGACCGCAACAACAATTGTGTGATACCATCATAATTATTTTCGCGTGCATGCTACGTCTAGCATTCTCTATGTGTCAGCTCGTTTTGCGTATAAGTAAAAAAACTTGCAGATTTTTAAAAATCTTGCCTGTTTTTGATTTTCTTTAACTCTTTGAACCCAGACGCTTCGTCTAGACACTCATCGCCCGTGTTTCTTATGATTACTCGTTAAGTGCGAATGAGCGGATTTCGTAGTATGTATTTAATTTACACCTTTATGTGTGTAATTTGTACATACATCGATATAAGTAATAAATAGCGGCTAAGCAACCCCAATTAATATCAAGGAGAAAAAGTTTTGTTCAAGCTACACTTGTAATATACACACGATTTTAATGTTAATGCTGCAAAATCGACGTCCTTAATATTTGAAATGATTTTAATTCGTGAATTGATGTCGACGATTTATTGTGATTGTCTTTTAAATTGATGAATACAAAGATATCAAATCGATTAATTTGTAAGCTTTCTATTACAATACAATAAACGAAGTTATTATAAATGTTCTTGATTTATTATATAAATTATATGATTGTTATCAATCGATTGACGAATGGAATTATTAGGACATTAATTAGCATTTGTATGTTGCTTGATTTTAGAGAGAAAGTTCAGAAATATTGACAATTTGTCGACTATTTTGAAAAAATCTATGAAAATGACCTTCGGATTTGATATTCTGATTGAATTTTGAATAATAATAAATGTCCGATAAAGATTTTTTAATATGAACGATATAATAATGATATTTATGTTATTGATAAATTAACTAAGCTGAGCAAGTACATTAATCACTATTAACTACCTCGGTAGCATGAAGTCTGAACGTGACAAGTTGTTGGCGGCGACTGTTCGATGAATAAATGGCAGTAAACAATTGTAATAATGATATAAAACAAAATACGGGCTGCACATGCGTAGCAAAACAATTCTGGTCATACGGATATACAGGGTCGAAAAGATTTTATCATCTAACATACGAAATATTGCCCAAAATTGTTTCCAAACTTCTGTATAATTGATGTAGAATTTTCTACGAAGAACAATTTAGTTCCTGGCGTCCTTTGCCCTTTAGGAACAATTTGAACACCCCCTATAAACAAAAATACCACATTTAAAAAGTTTTCCCATCGTTTAGTTGTCCCACCCGCACCGTCAGCAAGTTCACGCATCTATTAGTTGATGGTCGACAAGAGCAGTGCTTTCTCCACCGCACTTTTTATTTGAATAAATTGTTTGTAACTCAAAAATACATAATGTATATGGCGCGTTTCCAGATCAGTATAGCAATCATAATTTGCCGTGATTGATACATTCGACATGTATTTGCATATGACCTGAACGAGCAAGCAAATAAATATCGATGTTCTACAAGGCCTGCGCTGGAAAACATTTCAATTTTTCTACTCCTCAATGTAATATTATAATATTGCGGTAATTATCGGGAAACTATCCAGGTTGTCGGTCGTCACTGCATACATTGTGGGAATTACCACCAGAGAAATAACGTTGCTTCAAAATTCCCATAAAAAATGTTCGCTACGCTTATTTTATTCACGAATTGTTTCTTCTGGGGTCTACGGTGGGATACAGTTCAAAGTATTAGTATAAAATCACCAATGGATCCTCAAACCGATTTAATTATATCGATCATCGAACAATTTTCCGAATGGGATTTTGTCATCCACCTGGACAACCACCTTGACCTTGCGCGTTTGCTCCTGCACAAGGACAACCAGAATCCTCTGACAATATACAACTATAACTACACACATCCTGAGGAATTCAAACGCCCCGAAACGCAACGCTGTGTGCATTTTGTAGCGTACGAAAATACGGATTTTTTGTATTTTACAAGACATATACGGAACATCAATGAAAGGGACATTATTATATTTCTCACAAGGGTAATGCCTGAAAATTCGGACTTTACGCACTGGTATTCAAGCGGGGTGGACAACGCCAACACAGTCTTCATTGTTAGTAGAGCAGTTGCGCTATCGTTGTTTTTCTACAGCGCGCCAGAGTATATAGTATACACTCAGGAGGTGACCAAAAGTGAAAATGGTACTCATGAGTTGTCCAAATACACGAACAGTTTTGATAATATGTACGGGTTTCCTCTTAAAATTGGATATACAAGTTGTCCCCCATTTACGTTTGATGACGATGAGCACTTAGTAGGTGTAGAGTATGAAATAATGAAAATTGTTGGTGCGAAATTAAATATTACACCAATCTTGGAAAACTATTCGGATGAAATGAATCCGAGATTTGCTCTAATTCAGGCTGTATGTATAATCAACTAGGCCGATTTTATTACATTGCACTACAATTCCTCAATTACAACTTTAGGTAAACAGGAGCCGGCTTCATTTTGGAATTGGATGTTTGTCCAACAACGTCATGCGAAACGAAATGGTATCATTCAGCGCTGCGCTGCAAGTGGAACCCCAAATTACTATATATGCTGCAGCTGGTAATAATCATTTCTAAATATTTTCTAAATAATCACTTTGAGACTTTTTGTCAGAGGGTCGTTATGGTCCATCTGCTCTGTACGCCATAATAGGCCCCTTGAAAATGAGAGTTTGGATCTGTACTGTGGCCGCCTTAGTTATTATGAGCATATTAGCGAAGTTGTTACTAGTCTACGATCCAGATGGTAATTTATATACAAGTGAGGTGGTTCTGATACCAACACAAATACTTGCGGAACAATCAACGAAAATACCGAAGCAGAGCAATTCGCTGAGAGTGGGTCTCTTTGCGTGGATCCTTGTCGGTTTTGCATTATCAAGCAGTTACAAATCAAAACTAACGGCAGCATTGATAATGCCAAACATGAATGAGCCAACAACTTTGACGGAATTGCTGGATCAAGGATATCACTTTATTGTAAGCGATATATTTTGTAGGTGTGTGATTCAACGTACCTAATCGAAATCCTGCAATATTCTACAAATCCAACTGAAAATAAAATTGGGCATGTCATCGAAGATACGAAAGTGGTGTGCGAGGCTATTGATCGTGCTGTAGTTGAATATTCCGCAGTGATAGAAGAAAGATCCGTTATTCGATTTAAAGTATTAATTTATTACACATTACAGAAACATTAGATTACAGTGTATTATATTATTGTTTTAGTTATGGAATTATTGCTTTAGAAATTTGACACAAAGTCAAATAAGGTCCTTGCGCCGTTTGAAGCAAGATACAGTCGTAAATGGACACGTGTGGGCTATGCAGAAGAGAGCACCGTACAAAAAAACAGTGTCCTTGACCATTGAATGGCTCAAAAGTTATGGCTTGATTGGTAAATGGTATGTCTCTGCTTTAATTTTTAACATTTCATCCCTTTCTCCCCATATACGCGGAAAACTTATATAATCAGATTAACAATATAAAATTACGTTTTCTGAACAGGTACAACGCCTACAATTTATCCCAACCTCTCGTGACTGCAAACACTAGAATTAGAGCAGTGGCTGTTCCTTTGCATCTTGTTGATTTAGTTTCGGCGTGGATCATAATTGGGTTTGGTGTAGTGGTCTCGGGAGGAGCATTTTTGCTCGAAATGTTCACGAGAGTCACCAAAAAGGTCACTTTCCGGCCGTGTTTAGTCCATACGGACTCTAGAACTCAGCTGCAACCAAAAAGCGAGACCTTGACCGAAACATAATTCATGAATTTGTACTCGTATAATTCATAGTAATAACAAGCCGGGAGATGGTATATACATTAAACTGGAATTTAATCACTGACTTTGCAGTAGTTTCAGCACGCAATTACATTTGTGAAGTGCGATTTTTTACAAACACGCACGCACGCACACGATAGCACAAACAACACTTTGCATATCAATATTTAATATATAATTGTTTTGAATCAACATAGAATAAATTATATAGTAGAATATTGTCTCTTTAATGCTTTAATTTATGTGATGCGATGTTTGCAACCACTGATTGGCTAAAGTAAAGAATAATTCAAATATGTGGCCTTGTACCACATTAAATATTAATTGATATAAAACAACCGAAGTGCTAGCTTATTGAATATATACGAGAGCTATGTGCTGTCAAAACATCATTATAGGCAAACGCTCGGTAGTTAATTTGGATGTTAAATTTTTATGTCACAAACGGAGCGGTCTAATGTTTAGGATTATGTTCACAAGTTTAGTAGGTATCATGCATAATTTATTATGATATAGTGCCCATATGGCTGTTGTTAATATTGCTGATTTGTTGGAATACAATAAACATCAAATGTCTTGATATGTCGTTGTTACTAGGTGCTGCACATGCAGCCATATTTAATTCATAACATGCGGAGACATGCTTTAAGTGTTATAGCTATATAAGTGCATTATTAATAAATGATATGAAAACAACTCCAGTGTCAATTTATTGAAAACAGGGCAAGTATGTGTAGTTTAAACATTATTCAAAACAAACTACCGGTGGTTAATTTTTATGTCACATTTATACGTTGAGTTTACTAGTGCCACGTTCAAGACCATGATTACTGGTTTCCAGGGGCTAAAAATCTTATTACATTTTTTTGTGTGGTGGATGATGTTTACTAAGTCTATCAGTACCAATCCTTTAATGCTTCTAACAGCGGACGATGTACGTTTGGGTAATATACTCGTTCAGTTTCGATGGTACGACTTTGTTGTACATGTTGATCAAACAAAGATGCATTTTCTTAGTACGTTGGGCTCGATTGCATCGCCGACAAATCCCGTAACTATATTTAAGTACACAGAAGAAGAATATTTATTTCATCGGCCACTTGTGTACAGATGTGTGCATTATGTTGTCCAAGATGACGACGGGGCATTTTTAGAACACTATTCCCTTGTTGAAGGCAACGTCGAAGAAACTGATGTTGTCATTTTTCTCTCAAAAACATTGGACACGACTCGAAATTACACCAAATTATATAACACGGGTGTAGACCATGCTAATATAGCATATTTTCTCAATAGAACTCATGGCAATGCCATTCTCTTTTATAACTCTCCCGACGGCATGGCTGACGTGCGACCAGTGCGTCGCACTGAAAACGACGAACCTATTTTGGATATTCATAATGCGTTTATGAATTTTCGTGGGTTTCCCTTAAAAATTGGTTACACAAATTGTATGCCGTTTGTGTACCAAGCTGGCCCACATATAATTGGCGTCGAATTTAAAATAATGGAGGTGGTTGTAGCTGCATTAAACTTCACACCATATTATGAAGACTATTCACAAAAAACAGACGGAAGGCTTATGCTCATCAATGATGTAGGTTTCAAAGATTCTATAGATTTTGACTTAATAATAATCACGAATTTTCATTGTAGGTCAACAGAAGTATATTGAATTGTGCGATTGGTTGTTTATCGAACAATGTTGTGCGCAATCAAATGGTTTCGTTTAGTACAATGTTGCAAACTGAACCGCACATCATAGTCTACTCCGCCGGTGAGAAGTATGAACCAAAACCGATTTATGTAATTTTTACACCCTTGGACTTGAACGTTTGGATATGTTGCTTTGGCACTTTAATTCTGGTTAGTGCATGCGTGAAATTGCTGACCGTTTATGAAAAAGACGTTTTAGTAAATCCTGTACTGGTAGGCAAATGAATGGTTATTTAGGTTTATATACCCAATTAATTGTTGGTATGTGTTTAGTTACCTCTCAGCATTCTCTTGGAACAGTCTATCGCCATACCTCCAAAAAGTAATGCGCTTCGTTTTGGTCTTGTGACATGGCTACTTGTTGGTTTTGCTTTGTCTAGCTCATACAAGTCCAAGTTAACATCCGCGCTAATAATGCCCGCATCCAGAGAACCAAATTTTCTCTCAGAATTAATTGACGAGGGATATCACTTTATTGTACGTTAAAATGTCCGCGTAAAATTTCTTGTGTTTTCAAATTTTGTTTGCTTCAGTCCCCTGCTCAAGATTCCACGTATATAATTGAGCTTCTCCAAATGTCTGATGATCCACCAGAAGCACACGTGGGGATGGAATTGGAAGACACCAAGGATGTATGTGAGGCAGTTGCACGAGCCCTCACAGAACAGTCTGCTGTTGTCGAGGAGCAAACGGTGCTTAGATACAAGGTATTCAATTATTAAAATGTTTCCGGCGTTTTAAATGTTAAACGAGAATAACTTTTAGGTGTGGAACTATTGTTACCTAAATCTAACTATGAAACAAATGCATGCATTGCGGCGATTGGAACACCCCATTACAACAAATGGTCATATGTGGGCAATGCCAAAAGGAGCACCGTTCAAATATCGCATTTCCAGCATGCTGGAGGAACTGAAAAGTTTTGGACTTGTCCAAAAATGGTCAGTGACATTGAATCTTTAATAAAATTAGCTAAACGTTGATATTTTTAGGTATCAATCTTATAATATAACCAGGCGCATGGCAATATCCAATTCAGTGCAGCAACGGGGAGATACCGAGCCATTAGAACCTCATGATCTTCTCGCGGCGTACGTGGTGTTGGGTGTTGGTTGTGTTTTGGCGGCACTTACATTTTTCCTAGAATGGTTTATATATAATGACGAGCCACCCTTTCATCACGCCAAACAAACACATCAGGTGGTCAGCTTTACATAATTTATTCATTCATATTTTATAATTATTAGTTTACCCCCACTGGAATTTAATCGTTGTGTGTGTCGAATTATAGTAATAGTTCTATTTCTGCCTTAGAATGGGTTCCACCCACATTATTCGTGTTTATCGACGAACAATTTATGCTCATGTTTATATACAACATTTGTTATTTGTAATTTGATGTGAGCAGTGGCTTATAACTCGATAATAAATAAAAAGGGAGTGCTGATTAAATTGACACTTTAGTTCAAACACATTACTATTTAGAACACGATTGCTATAAAGCACAAAGTGAATGGAACAGTAGTGTAGTAGTGCAAGAAATATATTGCCGCCAGCTTTTAAATCTTTTCTTTTGATTATCTTCAATAAATCGTTATTCAACGTAATACTAATCTATAAATATGCGCAAAAGTCTATTCCTATATTTTTGGTTGTATATCAGAATTAATATTGTTCATAATAAAGATATTAATAATGTGGATGTTACCGGCAGCAAGAATTTCACAATAACTAATGCACAAAATGCCAGAAACGTTTTTCAACGACTACTTATGTTTTTTCCACGACATTTGCGAGTGTATCACTACGAAAATCAAACAATCGCCGACATGGAAATTGCATATCGAAATTATGCAAATGTTCAAAACCAACCGAGCTTATTTTTTAATTACAATCTTGAAGGAGAGTTTCTAAGACCCTTTGGTGATGCTTGCATAAACATGGTATTTTTAACAAATGTCAGTGATTTTAATCGATTCTACGACATTGCATACAATGTTAAATCGACTGATGTAATTTTAATTATATTGTATATGCCTGCTTATACAAACGATAGGGAATATGATACGTCAAGAGCCGTTCTTATTTATCAGAAATGGAATAATTTTGTAAAAGTGATTCATTACCATAGTGAAAAAGAATTCAGTATTATCGATGTCACAACAGAATTATCCGACTTTGAAACATACGAGAATAGTTTTCAGGTTTTTAAAACAATCGACATTGCATATAAAACATGTAGTCCTTTTATTTTCGAAGAAAACCAGAATCAACTAAATGGCATTGAATATAAAATTTTGGAGGTGGTAATGGATAAACTGAACTTCACCTTTCAACTTGTTAATTATTCTAATACTCCAGTACGACTTATTTTGGAAGATGTAATAATTTTCTTCTTTGTTTTGAATTTTAAATTAACTATTCAATGTTTTCTAGTTAAATGATAGGAAAGTGAATATGGTTGTTGGATGTTTATCAAACACGATATCACGCAATCAACTTGTATCTTTTACTCCAGACTTTTTCTATGAACATTATTCAGTCATCTACAGTAGCCGTGGTTACAAGCACAATTCCACAGTCTCCATTGTTCGTCCGTTTACCATAGATATGTGGATTATTTTGGTGTTTCTAATAGCTGTCGTTGCAATGTTGATTAAAAAATTTAATAAGTCTTCGACTAGACATGCATTTAATTTCTTCGATTTTATTGAGGTACTGGTTTTAATGTTTGCTTGAAAAAAGTCTAATATTTATAATTTTTTAGTTACCACTTCGAAGTGTTCTCGATCAGCCGATGAATTTAAAATCTAAACATTTGTCTGTTCGACTAATTATGGCTAGTTGGCTGCTGACTGCATTGATCTTCTCCAATGCATACAAGAGCAAACTCTCTTCTTCAATGATTGAACCAAACTTGAAGGAACCAGATTCTATTGTGGACTTACTCAGATTTGACTATTCGTTTTATGTTAGTTAGATGTTTAATGTGTGTTCACATATGTAATGCAATTGTTCTAGTTAAATAACATTGACCGAGTTTTCTTGTCGGAGATAATGACAATGAGCTTCAATGCAACTTTTCAAAAACTTGTCCAACGGCACCATGACTTTGATGAGATCTGTGAATGTTTTCCAAATATTTCCCATAATCATTATGGCTTAATTGGGGAGGAGACTGTTTTAAAATACTCGGTATGTAGCAAAAAAGTTAGGATAGCTCAAGGAATTATTTATTTTTATATGTGTTGTAGTTGTATTTCTCTTGCGTTGGTAACTTAACAATTGATGAAAATGCAGCAATACGTAAAACAGCAGAGCCGGTTTTCAAAAATGGACATGCATGGGCCTTTAAACGAAATTCCCCATTCATACGACAAATTGACTACTATTTGGAACTTCTAAAAAGTTTTGGAATTATACAAAAATGGTACTTTTAAAGTGATAATTACATTTTGTTTATAATATAATATTTTGGTTTAAGGTATAGTAGTCCAAATAATTTAAAAGAGATAACAAGGAGTAATTCACCCATTGATCGTCAAACCCAGGAAGAGCCTTTATCTCGGAGTATGGTGTTAGCACCATTTCTTGTTTTAGGTTTTGGGTCAGCTTTAGCGTTCTGCGTTTTTATAGTAGAAATTGTGCTTTACTATAGAAAAAAAACTGGCAACAGGAAAATATAAAGTTAAGTTAATTCAGAATATCGAAATGTATATCTGTGGATTTATTGTAAAAATATTATCTTTTGTGTGATCTTTTAAAATGTTAATAAACAGATTTCGGTTGACGATATTGTTTGCATTGCTTTTAATAAAGGAGTATGGTTTTCTTAAAAATTCTTTTTGATATCTGTTTTTTTTCGTACATATTTTGTACAATTTGGAGTTCATTAACAAAAACAATTTTTATATGTAAAATAGCAGGCCAATTATTGTTAATTAAGTCATGAAACCATCTAAAAATATGTTATGTTTGTACCTATTGCGATTAGGGGCGCGCCTGCCTTATAATTTGTTTTCAAGTAGAACTAAAGCATTCTAAACATATAAAAATCAATCGTGGCTGTGTTTTGCCAAGGGTGACCTCTACCTTGCTCAAATATAAATAAATAATACATTTATACCTATATTAAAATAAAACTTTTCTTGTTAGAAATATTTTTATGAAATCATTGAAAAATAAATCATTTCAGAATAAAAGATTGTGTAGAACTCATGTTCACACGTACGTCGTATGCTAATATTAATACGATGAGATAATTATGTATGGAAAGCACACGAACCACAAAGATCGATATAATATTTTATTATCAAAAATAAATCCAATATTGTTTGATCTAAGATAGCAATCAATTTATAGACGTCGCGACATATTTATGCAATTTGAACTATTTTTATATGTTTCAATTATGATATTGATTTTTTGTTTGCACTATACCATAATATATAAAGCGAAAACGTGGGGGATGTATGTCACTTATTTGTTATTAAAATCTCATTATTATCAATGTCGAAATTCTGATGAAAACAACATTTGTAACTAAATGTGAGTAAAACGTTTAATAGGCATTGTGAATGTATTCAAAGTGTTTTTCAATATTAGACACCAAAACACGTTACTACATGATATTGCAATTTAGAAACATGTGGCGTAAATTGTTTTCATATGAATTGTTTACAACAATATGCTAAAATAAGAAACAACATCTTTTACATATTATAAACAAAATGTTCGTCGTTGATTGCGGTAGTATTTTGACAGGGGTAATACTTTTGATTATTAATCATGCTTTGTGCCAACCAAAACGAATTGAAGATATATTATTGAAGAATACTTTAATTATACACTATAATAATCTATCAATATCAATTTTTGATAGATTATTTATACCTGAATTAGGCCAGCCAGTAATAATGTTTAATTATGATTATAACGAGACTGGCATGTCCAGATCAAGATATTGCTGTGGGCAATTTTCCGATGGTGTAGCCAACCTTGTTTTATTGGATAATAAGACAATGTTTGAACGCGGTTTTAGCACTATTAAGGGTAACATCAAACCACAGGATATCATTCTTCAAGTGACGAATGATACTAATATACAACCCTACGTTACAAATCCTCGATTTACGCAACAGTATGTTTATGAGATAAGTGAAGGAAAGCTATACAATATCACACCAATTCACATTGACACATTGCGCTTTGGATTTGTGGGCTGCGATCCAGTAATAAATGTCGCAGAAGAAAATGGTTTTGAGTATCTCGTCGGCTCAGAGCACATGCTTGCTAAATTGGTGGCCGAGGTGATGCATTCCAAATTGGTATTCATGGATTATTCGAACAGTACACGTCCAGAGGTGATTACTTTGGTAAAAACTTGTAATTTTAGTACGAAAACACAAATACTTTGATAATGATTTTTCAGGTGGATAATGAAGTAATTGACTTTGTTGGTGGGTGCCTCTCTTACACATACGAACGTCGAAAAATGGTGGAATTCACGCCAAACTTCTTTGAAGACGGATATAAAATATATTTCAGTACTATGGTTATACCAAAACATGGATCTTTTCTGATCTCGTTACCATTCACTAAGATGGTGTGGATGTTAGTGTACCTGGTACCTACTGGAATGGGTATTTTACTAGTTGCAGCTTGTAAATACTTTAAGATCAGAGCAAATTTTCGTTTCAATGTACATAACGTTATACTTTGCCAATCAATTGCATATGTATTATACAATTTCTTGCAGATGTTTTTGTTAACATTATATGAACAGCCAATCAAAGTGAGGAAATTGCCCTCGTTCGTCAAGATGACACTCGTATTTTGGTTGTTTTGTGCAATGATTATTACCAGCGCGTACAAGAGCATACTATCATCAATATTGATTGCACCCCAATTGAACGAACCTCGCAATATTCTTGACGCGATTGATCGAGATTACACATTTTATGTACGACGTTTGGCCAAATAATATAAATGGAATATTAATATTATTACATTGCAGATTCCACACAATGATCTCTCATTTCCCATTGAACACATGAATGCATCGCTCAATCAAAAAATACGCGCGGTGGTTAATCGATGGCGAAGAAAACCGGATGCATGTGAAACAGTGAATGTCACACTATATGGAATGAACGCCGTCATCATGGAAGCATTGAACGGGAGATACACAGTAAATATTAACGAACCAGTTTTACGCATTTGCTAACAATTTTATTGTAGTTTTGGAGTAAATGTCAAAAAAATTACACGCATCAAGAAAGAGACAGCGTACGGGAAAGCAGTGAGTATATTTTCTTTAGTGGACATACATGGGCTCTCAAATTTCACTCCAGAGTTAATGATCGCGTAATACTTGCGTTAGAAGTATTGAAGAGTCATGGATTCATTCAATATTGGTAAACTTTACCACTTTTCAATAATTATGGATTGATCATTTATTATTATTTAAGGTATCATGTGTACAACATGTCGCAAGTTGTGGCTGCGGCAAACTCGGTGATTTCGCATGATCCGCAACCATTGAATAAGACCGTGTTTTACTCACATTTTGTTATCTTATTTCTCGGATTAATAAGTGCGTTTATTGTGTTTATAATAGAGATTATCATACGGCGAAACAAATACATTCTACGGATGTATTAGTTAATATTAGTTAATGAAAAACTCGCAATTATTTGATCAAATAGTATCTTGTAAATTACATTTTCTATAAATAAATAAACAAAAAAGAAAGGCGATACTTTGTAAAATACCTTTCAATTACCTCAATGTGGTGGTGTCCATATGGGGGCAATTCAGATTTATCAATTCGTTCCTTTCTATCGTTTTTAATATGGGCATTTGTCAGTCATTTTTCGCCTTTTGTTGGAAAAAAAGAATTTCCGTATATTTTTAGTTATTTAAATGTTTAATTGCTGGTTTAGCGCCTTTTGCAACGTTTCGTATTGAACTCCACACGCTTATCGGTTTTGTGTACAAACAACTTTTTTTTATCGCGTTGATCCGGCTCCATGCTGCTACGAACGTTGGCACGTTTCAGTCTCTTTTGATCTACACGCAGCTCACTGCGTATATTTCCTTCATCACAATCCAGTTAATTATGGTAGATGTTTGGAAAAATATCAGCAACAATAGACTTGTTTAGTGTTTTTCTAACGTTAATTTCTGTGTTAGACCATTATAAATTTATATCATTTGTGCATTGGTGTAGTTTGAATCGCAAGCTGCGGTTGCTGACCAGTTGCATGTCATCGCTTGAAGGTATGCATTGTAGACAAAGAGCTGATATTTTTAAGTTTCAAGGCATTAATTTTGCGGACAACATATAAAAATGCACTTTTTGTGTTTTGAGTCACTAATTGTTCATTGGTTTTCGAGGTCTAGCTACTGAACCCGACCTCGTAGACTAACTATTTCTTCATCCGATTGTACGTATTGAAATTCTTTATCATTTTAGTTAATAACTTTTGGAATTATCTCACGAATTGACCCCCAAATATGCATTTTTGTGTTTTGTGTCTCTAATTTTTGTTTGTTCTAACAACTGAACCCGACTTCGTAGGCTAATCAATCTTACATCTCATTGTACGTATTATATTTCTCTATCATTCTCCTAACTAAATTTCTTGATTATCTCACGAATTAACCCTTAAAATTGCATTTTTGTGTTGCGAAGGACTAATTTTTGATGGTTTTAGGGATTTTCCGCCTCAGTCCGATATCGTAGAAGGACCATTCTTACAACAAATTGTAAGTAATAAATTTCTCTATCATTCTCCTAAATAAATTTTTTGATTATCTTACGAATTAACCCTTAAAATTGCATTTTTGTGTTGCAAAGGACTAATTTTTGATGGTTTTAGGGATTTTCCGCTTGAGTCCGATATCGTAGAAGAACCATTCTTACAGTAAATTGTGAGTAATAAATTTCTCTATTATTCTCCTATATACATTTTTTTATTATCTTACGAATTAACCCTTAAAATTGCATTTTTGTGTTGCAAAGGACTAATTTTTGATGGTTTTAGGGATTTTCCGCCTGTGTCCAATACTGTAGGAGAACCAATCTCACAGCAAATAATAAGTAATAAATTTCTCTATCATTCTTCTTAATAAATATTTTGATTATCTCACGAATTAACCCTTAAAATTGCATTTTTGTGTTGCGAAGGACTAATTTGTGATGGTTTTAGGGATTTTCCGCCTGAGTCCGATATCGTAGAAAAACCATTCTTACAGCAAATTGTAAGTATTATATTTCTCTATCATTCTCCTAAATAATTTTTTTGATTATCACACGAATTAACCCTTAAAATTGCATTTTTGTGTTGCGAAGGACTAATTTTTGATGGTTTTAGGGATTTTCCACCTGAGTCCGATATCGTAGAAGAATCATTCTTTCAGCAGATGGTAAATATTACATTTCTCTATCGTTTTCATCAATAAATTTCGTGATTATCTCACGAATTAACCCTTAAAATTGCATTTTTGTGTTGCGAAGGACTAATTTTTGATGGTTTTAGGAATTTTCCGCCTGAGTCTGATATCGTAGAAGAACCATTTTTACAGCAAATTGTAAGTAATAAATTTCTTTATTGTTCTCCTAAATAAATTTTTTGATTATCTCACGAATTAACCCTTAAAATTGCATTTTTGTGTTGCGAAGGACTAATTTTTGATGGTTTTTGGGATTTTCCGCCTGAGTCCGATATCGTAGAAGAACCATTTTTGCATCAGATTGTAAGTATTAAATTTCTTTATCATTTTCCATAATAACTTTTGTGATTATCTCACAAATTGACCTCCAAATTTGCATTTTTATGTTCGAAGGACTAATTTTTGATGGTTTTAGGGATTTTGCACCTGAGTCTGACATCGTAGAAGAACCATTCTTACATCAGATTGTAAGTATTAAATTTCTTTATCATTTTCCATAATAACTTTTGTGATTATCTCACAAATTGACCCCCAAAATTGCATTTTTATGTTCGAAGGACTAATTTTTGATGGTTTTACGGATTTTGCACCTGAGTCTGACAACGTAGAAGGACTATTTTTGCATCAGATTGTAAGTATTAAATTTCTTTATCATTTTCCATAATCACTTTGTGATTATCTCACAAATTGACCCCCAAAATTGCATTTTTATGTTCAAAGGACTAATTTTTGATGGTCTTAGGGATTTTGCACCTGAGTCTGACATCGTAGAAGGACCATTTTTGCATCAGATTGTAAGTATTAAATTTTTTTATCATTTTCCATAATAACTTTTGTGATTATCTCACAAATTGACCCCCAAAATTGCATTTTTATGTTAGAAGGACTAATTTTTGATGGTTTTAGGGATTTTGCACCTGAGGCTTACATTGTAGAAGGACCATTTTTGCATCAGATTGTAAGTATTAAATTTCTTTATCATTTTCCATAATAACTTTTGTGATTATCTCACAAATTGACCCCCAAAATTGCATTTTTATGTTCGAAGGACTAATTTTTGATGGTTTTAGGGATTTTGCACCCGAGTCTGACATCGTAGAAGGACCATTTTTGCATCAGATTGTAAGTATTACATTTCTTTATCATTTTCCTTAATAACTTTTGTGATTATTTCACAAATAGACCCCCAAAACTGCATTTTTATGTTCGAAGGACTAATTTTTGATGGTTTTAGGGATTTTGCACCTGACTCTGATATCGTAGAAGGACCATTTTTGCATCAGATTGTAAGTATTAAATTTCTTTATCATTTTCCATAATAACTTTTATGATTATCTCACAAATTGACCCCCAAAATTGCATTTTTATATTCGAAGGACTAATTTTTGCTTGTTTTAGGGATTTTGCACCTGACTCTAACATCGTAAAAGGACCATTCTTGCATCAGATTGTTAGTAATAAATTTCATTATCTTAAATAAATGTTGTGATTATTACACAAATTGACTCCCAAAATGTATGCTTGTGTGTTTTCTTTAATAAAGAATATTTCAACGTTTTTCTAATTATAATTATTTTTGTTATTTCTATCTGATCACGTATTTAACGATTCCTTAAATCATTTATTTTGAAAAGTGCATGCTAGTGACATCTATCAATTAGAAACTACAACAAACGAAAGTTTTGAACTTCGGTCCGCCGCCACTAGAGGCAGCACATTACTAGTTACCGCCAAAACTTTATCAGCCTCCTCAACTTTCTGCGATCCTAATATTCAATCTTTATTTTGTCGACTCTGAGAGGCAAAATGACACAAAATTTGGACTCGAAACAGTCGAAACTCAGGTTTTGATATTCGGATCACAGAAAGGGTGAGGAGGTAAGTATATAAAAGAGGCGGTAACTAGTAATGGCGGGTAATATGAATGTTTAAAAATATTTATTCAGCAAATTCGGTTTTCGAATTCTGAAGGATCTCGACAACTAAGAGGGCTAGAAAATTATGAACTACCTAATCTTGATCCTTGAAAAATTCTCTACAAGGTGGCATCATTATTGAAAAATCATCAAAATGGCACAAAAAATTTTTAAGAAAAATATTTTGTTATAAAAAAGGCAAAAGATTTCTCTTTTTTATGATGAAAATTAAAAGTTGGATTTTTTGAATTCAGTTTTCGAATTCTGATAAACAATTTAATTCTACAACAATTATTTTAGAAACTTTTTTACTAGCATTAACTGCTTAGGCCCTATTTGCAATGTTATAGAACAAATTGAACATGTACCGAAACAAATTGAAATAATGTATATAATAATTTGGCGGGAACTGCCTATGCCCACTTTCTGCGTTCCTAATACTACAGACTGTTGAGTAATACTACAAATTTCTCGACAAATTTTGTCGAGAAATCCATTGAAATTGGTAACAAAATTCTTTTGAATATTAGGATCGCAGAAAGTGCAGTAGGTAGAATCTCCTGCAATCTTGAATAGCGGCGTAGTTTAGTTACTCGTGGACAGATGACACTAGTGATACCGTTTTTAAATTAATATTGATAAAATATAAAATTGATTTTGAACTATTTTCCATATCTAGCAGCGACATTTCCATTAAAGTTTAAGGGATTTATGAATTAATTAAAGGAGTAACGATGTTGCGAGCTATGTTCCCCGTTTGGAACAAATAAAACAATAAAAATTTATAGTCAAAAAATATAAAACAACAATTTTATTCAAACATGTAGAATCACAAACTCAATTCCTCAATATATACAGCATTTTTAACAATACATGCATGAAAACAGGATAATAATATGCAATTATATAATGCCCTTTTATACCATTTCACTAGATACATAATATGATATCAATATCAGCTTCAAAATGTTGTAAATTCATTCAATCGTGTTTGGAATCATCATCAACACCGGCAATCCAATCTTCAATTTCGTGGACACTATAAATCAGAAAGAATAACAGAATAGTAAAATATAAAATATTATAAATTGCTAACATATAACATACGTTCTGGGTATTTTAGTCCAGTTGACACATCCATTTTCAGTAGTCAAAACATCATCCTCAATACGCACTCTACCAGTACCACGGAATCTCTCAACTTGCTCCTTATTGATAAACTTGGGCATCTCAGGAATTGCCAATGCTTCATCCAACTGGAAAATATATATGTAAATGAAATATACATATACATAAATTAAATTATTTATTCTTACAGGATCCATAAAGAGTCCCATTTAGGGCACCGTACGAAGGTAGCGACTGTAGTGACTCCCATTCAAGGCACCGTACGAAGGTGGCGGTAGTAGAGACTCCTAGAATCAAACCTATATTAGTCGTGATGTTCAAATTTAAAGCTGCGTAATAAAACTACAATTCCTAGCGCAACGAGTACTACGGCGCACACACACAACTTTCAATATAACTCGCGTTACGGAATTTTCTTGCAATAAATTTCTATACAGGAGGATACAGAATTAAATTCACCATCTAGAAAAATTATTTCGAACTAATTGTAGCACCGCGTTCGCGAGTTATAACAAACAAACTATAATTCCTAGCGCAACGAGTACTACGGCGCACACACACAACTTTCAATATAACTTGCGTTACAGAAATTTCTTGCAATAAATTTCGATACAGGGGGATACAGAATTAAATTCAACATCTGGGAAAATTATTTCGAACTAATTGTAACACCGCGTTCGCGAGTTATCACAAACAAACTACAATTACTAGCGCAACGCCCATTTTATTGAATCGCGAATATCTCGTAAACTAAGAGAGATAATTAAGATCTGATCGCCGCGTTTTAATCTACGGATTATTCTCTATCAGATAGGATAGTTAAAACGGAAATCTGAGAGATGAAATTTTCATCCTTAACAAAAAAATTGCCAAGGGGGGGTGCTTGATACTTTTTTTCGACGATTTTTAAAAATTCATATCTCTTAAACTAAACGCGATATCAACCAACGAATTGCTGATTATGAAAGATTGGAAAATTCTCTATCAGATAAAAATATAAAATAATTATATTTCCAATAGTAAAAGGTCGAAAAACGCGACTAAAAGTGCTAAAAAGTGACATTTTGCAATTTTTGCCCATTTTATTCAATCGCGAATATCTCGTAAACTAAGAGAGATAATTAAGATCTGATCGCAGCGTTTTAATCTACGGATTATTCTCTATCAGATAGGATAGTTAAAACGGAAATCTGAGAGATGAAATTTTCATTCTTAAGAAAAAAATTGCCAAGGGGGGGTGCTTGATACTTTTTTTCGACGATTTTTAAAAATTCATATCTCTTAAACTAAACGCGATATCAACCAACGAATCGCTGATTATGAAAGATTGGAAAATTCTCTATCAGATAAAAATATAAAATAATTATATTTCCAACAGTAAAGGTCGAAAAACGCGACTAAAAGTGCTAAAAGTGACATTTTGCAATTTTGCCTATTTTATTCAATCGCGAATATCTCGTAAACTAAAAGAGATAATTAAGATCTGATCGCAGCGTCTTAATCTACGGACCATTCTCTATCAGATAGGATAGTTAAAACGGAAATCTGAGAGATGAAATTTTCATTCTTAAGAAAAAAATTGCCAAGGGGGGGTGCTTGATACTTTTTTTCGACGATTTTTATAAATTCATATCTCTTAAACTAAACGCGATAGCAACTCACGAATCGTTGATTATGAAAGATTGGAAAATTCTTCATCAGATAAAAATATAAAATAATTATATTTCCCACAGTAAAAGGTCGAAAAACGCGACTAAAAGTTCTAAAAAGTGACATTTTGCAATTTTTGCTCATTTTATTCAATCGCGAATATCTCGTAAACTAAAAGAGATAAATAGGATCTGATTGCAGCGTCTTAATCTACGAACTTATCTCTATAAAATATGATAGTTAAAACGGAATTGTGAGAGATGAAATTTTAATTCTTAAGAAAAAATTGCCAAGGGGGGGTGCTTGATACTTTTTTTCGACGATTTTCAAAAATTCATATCTCTTAAACTAAACGCGATAACAACCAACGAATTGCTGATTATGAAAGATTGGAAAATTCTCTATCAGATAAAAATATAAAATAATTATATTTCCTACAGTAAAAGGTCGAAAAACGCGACTAAAAGTGCTAAAAAGTGACATTTTGCAATTTTTGCTCATTTTATTCAATCGCGAATATCTCGTAAACTAAAAGAGATAAATAAGATCTGATCGCAGCGTCTTAATCTACGAACTTATCTCTATAAGATATGATAGTTAAAACGGAAATGTGAGAGATGAAATTTTAATTCTTAAGAAAAAATTGCCAAGGGGGGGTGCTTGATACTTTTTTTCGACGATTTTTAAAAATTCATATCTCTTAAACTAAACGCGATAGCAACCAACGAATCGTTGATTATGAAAGATTGGAAAATTCTCTATCAGATAAAAATATAAAATAATTATATTTCCTACAGTAAAAGGTCGAAAAACGCGACTAAAAGTGCTAAAAAGTGACATTTTGCAATTTTTGCTCATTTTATTCAATCGCGAATATCTCGTAAACTAAAAGAGATAAATAAGATCTGGTCGCAGCGTCTTAATCTACGAACTTATCTCTATAAGATATGATAGTTAAAACGGAAATGTGAGAGATGAAATTTTAATTCTTAAGAAAAACTTGCCAAGGGGGGGTGCTTGATACTTTTTTTCGACGATTTTTAAAAATTCATATCTCTTAAACTAAACGCGATAGCAACCCACGAATCGTTGATTATGAAAGATTGGAAAATTCTCTATCAGATAAAAATATAAAATAATTATATTTCCTACAGTAAAAGGTCGAAAAACGCGACTAAAAGTGCTAAAAAGTGACATTTTGCAATTTTTGCTCATTTTATTCAATCGCGAATATCTCGTAAACTAAAAGAGATAAATAAGATCTGATCGCAGCGTCTTAATCTACGAACTTATCTCTATAAGATATGATAGTTAAAACGGAAATCTGAGAGATGAAATTTTAATTCTTAAGAAAAAATTGCCAAGGGGTGGTGCTTGATACTTTTTTTCGACGATTTTTAAAAATTCATATCTCTTAAACTAAACGCGATAGCAACCCACGAATCGTTGATTATGAAAGATCGGAAAATTCTCTATCAGATAAAAATATAAAATAATTATATTTCCTAGAGTAAAAGGCCGAAAAACGCGACTAAAAGTGCTAAAAAGTGACATTTATCAATTTTTGCTCATTTTATTCAATCGCGAATATCTCCTAAACTAAAAGAGATAATTAAGATCTGGTCGCAGCGTCGTAATCTACGACCTTATCTCTATAAGATATGATAGTTAAAACGGAAATGTGAGAGATGAAATTTTAATTCTTAAGAAAAAATTGCCAAGGGGGGGTGCTTGATACTTTTTTTCGACGATTTTTAAAAATTCATATCTCTTAAACTAAACGCGATAGCAACCCACGAATCATTGATTATGAAAGATTGGAAAATTCTCTATGAGATAAAAATATAAAATAATTATATTTCCAATAGTAAAAGGTTAAAAAACGTGACTAAAAGTGCTAAAAAGTGACATTTTTCAATTTTTGCCCATTTTCTTCAATCGCGAATATCTCGTAAACTAAAAGAGATAAATAAAATCTGATCGCAGCGTCTTAATCTACGTGCAATTCTCTATAAAATAAGGTACCCAAATTGGAAATTTAAGAGATGAAATTTTTAATTCTTAAAAAAAAATGAGCAAATGGGAGTCAGCTATACAATCATCCACGTACGGTGCCCTGAACACGAGTCACTTCTACCGCTGTCCTCATACGGGGCCCTGAATACGAGTCACTTCTACTGCTGCCCTCTTTTAAACTAAAAGCGCAAGCAATCAAATTATATGCAAATTTTATTCTCTATTAGGTAAAAATTAAAAATAATTTTATTCCGTGGGGTATATGCGATCAAACCTAAACTAAAATATACAGCATGCGATATGAGCAGCGACACAAAAATTGTTGTTTATACACAAACATTGATAAATCAGCAATTTTTGGTGGATGCTAGATCCATCTATGAATTTTCTGTAAATATAAGCAAACAAATTTTCAAAATTCTTCTAAAAATGAAAATGTAAAACCTCTCAGTGAGATGAAACAAGAATTGTCCTTAGCAAATTTTTATTTATGAATTATTCTCGACCTCTCTTATTTTCCCAATTTGAATACCTTATCTTTTGAGAATTTTACAAAGAATCTTCAATCCGAAATAATTGGCATTAAAAAAAGCGAGACAAAAAGAGGATAGGGATGGTTAAGGTGGAATTCCGCTGAATTGCATCTTCAAGTACAACTCTTACGCTTTTGTAAGCGAAGGAAAAACTAAACAGTCAATTTTGAGATTTATCAGCTGGGTACGCGACTATCTTATATATTTGCAACACGCGATGGAACATCATAAATCAAAACAACATACCTAAATACAACCTAATAGAGGACGCAGACATAAAAACAAAAAATATAATTGAATTATAAACTTACATTGCACAACTCATGGACTCCATGGCAGGGCAAATACTGTAAATAAACAAAGAAAAAACAAGTTAAAACAAAAACATTTAATACAATTTAGTAATATTATAATCACACAACGGATAAAAACAAACAAGCTGTGCTGTTTAGTTAAATGTTACTAACACCAGCACGATGGGTCATTCTAATGATGAATATCAAATCAACATGGAGGCGATACACTTCACCGGCATTTATGGACAATAAACGCGCAAACTGTAAATTATATTACTATAGTCGATTGATGATCGAATATAATGCGAATTTGGAAAGTAGATGCCCGGACAAACAATACGAGTCGCGTAAAATACTGGATCAACCAGATACCGGTACGAAACTGGCTGCAACCTGTGCAAGCAACGACACGACAGTTTATGATAAGAAAGCAATAGATGCGCAGAGCCAGTGCGTCGATGGCACGCGACCTTGTGCGCGAATCGCATTGGCACTTTACCTGCGATCAAAACTAAACTAAGATGTGCCAACATGCGGCGTGAGGGGATCTCATGCGTTGCATTCTCGCGGCGAATGCGATAAGAAAGTGTAAGTTGTGTTCAAAACAAACACAATTCGCGTGTCGTATGCTCGCGCTTGCTGATAGCTATAGAAATAAACAATACATGTACCTATATTTTACAATTTTTGTTAATTTACGGACAATTTTTTATAAAATAAGCTAGTTAAATTGAAAATCTAAGAGAAGAAAAAAATCATCCTCATGCGGTTCCCTAAATACGAGTCACTTCTACCGCTGCCCTGCTACGTTACACCGAATGAGACTCAACTATACAATTGCGATTAATTGCAATATAACTAAATAAACAAAAAAATCAACGTTCTTGTCATATTCAAGTCAATAAACTTGAATAGTGCATATCTTTTAAATTAAAAGCGATTGCGACAGATTGAAGAATATGAAAGATTGGAAAATTCTCTATAAGATAAAAATGGTTGTTTGTAAAGTAGGTTTACGATCGAGATGTTTACGTGATAACGTCTTATTGGTGATATAAGTTTTTTTTGTTGCAATTGTTGTAACACTTCACTTGCACTTCACATTTTGTTTCACTGTTAAATATTCAACGAAAACTTAACCGCACGAGAAAATCTCCATTCGTTTGTATGCCGCTAGAGTGAGAGAGACGGAAGATCGGTCCACTCACTCGAACGCTATGCCTGCCTCCGCTCGTGTGGATTCCGCGTGTCAAGTTTCACGGAATGACTGGCAGCGCTCGAGATGAGACGGGAGATCAGTCCGTCTCTCTCTCTCTCTCTCGTTATACCTGCGATCGGAGGCCTCGTGACACAAGTTTCTGAACATGTCACCCGACTAAAACGATTTTAAAGACGTTATCACGTCAAAATAATTCTATTCTTTGGGGTAAAGGTCCAAAAATATGACTAAAGTGCTAAAATGCCCAATTTTCTGATTTTTGTCAAAAGATAAGAATTACAATACACCCGCTTTGCTTGAAGTGACAACACATGCCATGCAATTTTAAGCACATTTATGAATATAACAACCAATAAAACACTATGAAAATACGATGATAAAGAAAAACAAACGGCGGAAACAGAATCAATCAATGTGGCTGAGAATATTATTTAATTTACTTACTGGGTAGTACTGTAAAATTTCCATCGTAAACGGCATCCGTCGGCACCCCGCTCACGAACAAATACACAATATTTGCATTTCGCGAACATCTTATAAGCGATAAGTCATTAGCGAGACACAATAGTCAGCACTAATGACTAAGAACACCGAAAGTAATACGAGTTACCCAATTAAATCCGCAGAAAGGAGAATCGCGACGAACACGTACGAACCATCGGCCGGATACGGCGAAACTAATTTTATTCCTGCACCGTGAGCAAACGATACACGCAGCGCCATCACACGGTAGCGTGTGTGTATAGTACAAAATTATACACGAATATCGTACGCGAATCACCTAACAATAAGAGATAAGAACAAACCGGTCGAATTCCACTGCGTCGTGAAATCGCAAGTCTGTTTAGACACCACCACAAACAAACATAGACGTGAATCTACATAGTGTAGTTATACATAAGTATACATATCAAAATTGAATAATCATTTATTGTAAATCGATCTTTCACGCACTTTACCTTAAGATCACACGTTATATTGGTATAATAACATACAGACACTAAAGACAATAAATTAATTTCAAATCAGACGGTACAAAATGTAGGTCCTGCGTCCCTAGCCGTGTTAGTGTAGAGCAACCCTTACCGGCCTCGTCCACGTCCCCGCGCAAAACCACCCCGACCACGACCCCCCGCCGTACCCTTTCCCTTCGGGGGCGGGCTTTTCGGACGCAACGCTTCGATGCGCTCCGTACAACCAGTAGTCAGCGTGCTGGGCAGGAAGTAGCTATTGTACAACTCCGAGTTAAAATTAGTGTTGGTCAACTCCGGGCCCAACGTAAGCCAGCCCGGTCGGATGGTACTGTCACGTCCGAACACATGCAAACGCCGCCGGCCCAGACAGAAATGCTCGATGATGTGAAAAATCTCCACCGGTTTCTCCAGACTGCCATACTCCGGCTCCTCGGAAATAATCAAATCAATGTCCACGTTGGCGTGTATGAAGTCTCCGTCGGTGGAACGTCGCACAGTTCCTTTGATGCCCATCAAACAATGTTCCTTGGTCCTCTGAAACACAGCCTTCGCCTCCAAGTTCTTCGACTGGCCTGGCGATTTAATATTTGTGCGGATCCAACATATATCCTCACACCTGAAATTAAAAGTAAAATATTTGTAAATATATAAAACATAAATTCTGAATTTGCGCACCTTCTGAATCCCCATTTTCTCAAACACACTCTGCCCATATCGAGTCCTTCGGAACTTCCGCACCAAAGAAAAACAAACGACCGCTGCGCCGCAACTTCCCCAATATCCAAATTCATAATTTGATCCCAGGACCAAAACTGCATATTAGTCACGCCCATTGTTCGTTGATATTCTTCTAATGGCGGTTCAATCAGGATAACATCAAACTTTCCATTCAAGCTTTTCAAATCGTAGCTGGCCAAGTCACACTTGAGATACATTGGTGGTGCAGCTGTTTGCTGAATCAAGTCATCCTTCAATTTAATCAATTCCCTCAACTTGGGATATTCTTCAAACCTATCTGCAAGTCCCACATCTCGAATAAAATTCTGAGGTCTTTGGCCTGTGTCCACAAAGTGTTGGCAATAGTCATTGTGTGGATTAGATGATTGTGTACCCTTATATAAAAAACAAAACAATAAACATCAAATAATTTTAAGTATGATTTGAAATAAATACCTTTAAAAATGTAGAAGAATCACGATACACCAGTTCATCAGCATCATGGGCTTTTAAACCAAGTTTGACGAATTTGCGCCTTTTTCCAATGAATTTCGATAGTTTGATAGTTGCCTTAACTTCATGCCCAGTCCCAAGAGCTTCTTTAAGGTCTCGTGGACAAGCCACTCCAAGCTAGAAACAAAATAGTCTTAGGTGTACATGCTAACCAAACCAAATGATTGTACACTACCATTTGCGCGAGGAGCGCCTTGCGTTTCTTCGACTTTTGCCGAAGAAAATGAACAATGTCACACATATTTATCAATAATTAAGAACATTTACTATCCTAAATTAATTAAATACCGGCAGATTAATGGTTTTAATAGTTTACAACGTTTGTTTATTCCGAACAAGACTACTTTCGCGTGCTATGCAAACTCATGAGAATGACAACGTTGCCAAGTTTAACAAATTAGTATACTACCTCTGAATTAAGCGCTGTAAAATTTGTATTCATAATAAAAAATGCATTTACAATTAGTATTACGCAGTAACAATATTAAATGTTTATGTTTAAGCTCTAAATTTACTAAAATCTCATCTAAAATTTGAAATAAAACGTCAACGACGTGCCCAGCTGATAACGCCGACAGATGTCGACGAGTGTGATTTTGAGATTTGGCTTGTTTGGGCGCGTGATGTCGTCTTCGCTGTAAACAAAACAGTTGTTTTCCGGTTTTCCTGAACCCGCGGGGGGACGACATGCACAGCGGGATGACTTTAGAACCGTTTCTCTTCCTGTGCCGGCTGGCGTACGCCGCACGCTACCGTATTCCACTGATCATAACGGTGGTGTTCATCGCGTTGGATATCCAGATGCAGGTGGAGATCAACGTGGAAATGCGCTCAGTCCATCGCGATGCCGACCTTCCTTCCACCACTGACGACGATAATCAGTCCGAAGGTGTTCCTGCATCCCACAAATCCCCATCTAAATAATTTCGTTTTCATTTGCAGGCTCATGGATCACAATTGAGGAAGTTGAAGAGGAGGAGAGAATTGCCATCTCAGTGGAAGTCTAGAGAAATTCGTTGTACCTAAAAGTTTACACTTGGCTTTATATCTCCTGCTTTGAAATGAACTTTATACATTTGATTTTATCCGTCTTTATATACTCAAAATTCTAATATTTATTTCTATATGACTGATATTAGAGATTATTATTGTAAATAAATAAATTTTTGCTATATTATGCTGTGTTATGCTCAATATGTCTACTTTAATTAAAAATATATTAGTTCCTTAGACAAAAATGATCATTTTATATACATTATTATCATTTAAATCACTTAGAGCAATCAAATTGTATATATATATCATCATAGTTAGAATAAAATTATTTATAAAACGTCATACTCAAAGAAATCGTGTTATAAAAATGAAACTAAAAAGTTGTCCTCCTCGGGACTATCCAACAAGTGGCTATTAATCACATTCGCGACGCTTTTCTTGCAAGTTTTATCAGCCATAATTTCTTTAAGGAAATTATCACTATCTGAATCATCCGATGGATATTTTTGGCATGCATCAGTCTCTTTCTTACTGCAAGATGGCATCATCTTCGACGTCGTCGAAAGTTTCAAACTCTCCGTGCTTTTCGGATTCAATTTGTTCTCCCGTTTCATGTTTTCCAAAAATTGCAGCATGTAATTATCAATGTCGTCATCGGATGAATCATTCCACGTTGGCGTTGTATTTGTCGTCAACTCTTTTGGAGTTTCTTGTTTTTCAGCTTCGTTTTGACTTAGATACAAATTCAGCGATTCAAGAACATCCTCTTGGGAATGTATCTTGGATGAACTACAAGTTGGACACGCTATTTCACTTGTTACTAGAGTTTCCAAGTGTTTTTCTGAAATTAATTGTTTTGTAGATGTGGGCACATCAAAGTTTTCTGAAAACTCGCGTTGAATTTGGATATCATTCAACTCCTCTTGTACATTTCGCGAAGTTGAAAGCAAGGCAGAGTCTGAATTCGTCGTCTGCAATCTTCTGCCTTCAAACGGCTTGGAAAACTCGTCCACTACGTCTTTATCAACTAAAAGTACGCCTGATGATTGTGTCTTACGTAGTGATTGATCATTTTGTGGCAAACTCGCGCCAAAATCAAGCTTCCGGCGTTTGATTTCTACATAAGAGCTTCTAAATTCATCAATTGGTTTCTCCTTACCTCTCGGTGACTTTAAACGTAGTTTTCTCGGACTATTGCTGGCGCTGGAACTCACCGAAGAAGAAATCGAAACTTCAAACACCGATAAATCTGGCGGTTTGTCTTCATCCGACGTCCAATGCTCAAAAGATTCTTCTTCGACGATTCGCCTGCGCAATCTTGTTTTCTGTGCGGTGAAATTTTGTTTAGAAGCAGGCTTTCGTTTTGTTTTACCACCACCACCACCTGGAGATGAATTGGAACCATGCAATTCGGCGCACTGATTGATGTTTTCATGAAGTTGAACTTTTTCTTCTTCATGTCGTAATCTGTCGCCGTCTGAACAAAGATCCCAGGTCAATATAAGCCTAAACCAAGCGTATGGATCTACGTGTATATCTAAATAAGCGTTATCATAATCAATAAAATCGGTTTTCTTAAAAAATCGCTTGTTGGACTTCTTCAGCACCCAGTTGGTCAACTGCCATTGGAGTTGCTGATTAGGTTCCGTCTGAAAAATCGAAAATAAGCGCAAAACAAACAAAAACACACACAAATACATACAATAAAATTCCGATGAGTGATTCCAAGATGAAAATCAGCTTGAATTTGTTTGGTTATCATTTTTTCACACATCACATCAGCTTCGTCCACAATCAAACAAAAAAAGTTAAAGCTTTTGACATAATTTCTTAAAATTTTATGCTCTTTTTCCGTGACTAGCAGGACAATTGCTTCATTACGTAATAAAAGGCGTTCAGCATCTGTAAAAACGTAGATTAAACATTATTTCCATTAAAAATAATTAAAAACTTACTATTTTCAGTAAGTTTAAACACTTCCAAGTCAGAATACTTCTTCATGCAGTAAAACCAATGCATAAATCTCTGATCACTACAGAGGACAACACTTGCCAAGTTTTGTAGTGCCTTTTTGTAGAGTGCATTCAGTGCAACTGCACATGCATGCTCATGATTCATATCCAAGTCAACATTTAAAATAGCACCAGGTTGCTGAAAATCATAGAAAAATAACAAAAAACACTTTGTAACAAGTTTTTATACTTACACTTGTCACATAACAATTATAGATGAATCTTATAGCATTCTTCTTGTAAGTCTGCAGCTCCTTGGTAATTTTTCTGCTGAGTGCCACACCAGGCTGATTAGGCCCAGCCAGAATCAATTGGAATGTCATTGTGTGTTGAATCTGGATAGTGCATACAAAGTAATCACAAGTACATACAGCACCTTGAGGTACAATATCACTACAAAGACAGAAAAACTTGTCTTGAAGTTAGTTTCACCATCAATGTCTAAGTAACCAGTCATCTTGCATTTTTCTAGGTAAGTTTGTATAAGCTGCAGGAATGCTGAAGACATTGAAGTAGACGAGCATTACGCTACAATCACAATTCTTGACGGTGTAATTATTTCGGTAGTGAAAGCCTACACACTGACTGAGTATATTATTGCGTTGAAAACATTGCCTGAGTGTTTTTAAGAGTAAATTTTAAATAAATATGTTGCGGACATGATAACTTGTTTATGTCAGCAGGTCAGGTTAAACTGTTGAATAAGTTGCCTATGTTGTAAAGGGCGCACTTTGAAAGCCAGCTGTAAATAAACTTTGTTCAAAACTAATTAAATTAAATTTAAATGTGTAAAATAGTCACAAATTAGGTTTGGAATCGTTTGAGCTATGGTTCCGTATAAATAACAATGTTTAACATTAGTTACTCATGAAATTAGCGGCCAAGTGGAATGGATGGTTGCCTAGCAAAGAAAGATGTCATGATTACTCGTTAACTCGGTGGCACCACGGGTAACAAATGCACATCGGTGACGTCTGAAGTTGGTCGTCATCTGAGCGTGCACCTGTGCCATTGCGTTGTTTTCTCGCCGCCAATCGCAAGCGAAAAAACTTTGCCGCCGCCAAGCCCTTTGCGTCCCAGCCAACGATGGGCAACGTGGACACGAAGCTGAATTTTCGCAAGGCAGTGGTGCAATTGACATCAAAAACAGAAGTGAGTACTCCATATTCTTGCCGCCCCCAATCGATAATTAAAGCGTAATCCATTCATCCGCTTGTGTTTCAATCTGCGCGCAGCCGATCGACGCGAATGATGAGGTCTTCTGGGAGCAGTTCTGGTGTGAGAACATCAGCAATGTGCAGGACATTTTCACATTGGTTCCTGCTGCCGAGATTCGCAGTTTACGCGAAGAAGCCCCCAGTAATCTCGCAACGCTTTGCTATAAAGCAGTGGAAAAATTAGTGCGCGCCGTAGACAACAGCTGCCGTACACAAAGCGAACAACAGACAGGTTATTAATTTGTTTTCTTTATAAATTTCTTTAAATTTTATGAGGAAAAGAATAATGAAATGAAATTTAAAGCATGCATGCAAGAAAATATAACATATTGCACTTTGTAAGCTATCATGCATGTGGAAACCAATCAGTAAAGTTAAAAGTCATGCTTAACAGTCATTAAAATTTATCACTCACTTTTATTTGCGTTGTTTCTGATGTGTTGTTTGTGTATTTTAGTGCTGAATTGTGTACGTCTGCTGACGAGGCTGCTGCCGTATATTTTCGAGGACAGTGAATGGAAGGGCTTCTTTTGGTCGTCGCTACCTTCACAGAACGACAATGAAGATGAATCTGTACCGCTTGCACAGTCGCTTCTCAACGCAATCAGCGATTTGCTCTTTTGCCCTGATTTCACCGTGATCAACAGTCGTAAAAGTGGACCTGTAAGATGAAACTTCAACAAAACAAAAGTATAATCATTAATTTTATTTGAAAAAATCTTAGGATAAAGCTGAAGATTTGTCCGCGATCGACTCTTGCGAGTATATCTGGGAGGCAGGCGTTGGTTTCGCGCACTCACCACCGCGTCACCCGCTACTTGATTCAAATCGCACTGAATTATTGAAATTATTACTCACTTGCTTCAGTGAGACAATGTATCATCCCCCGGTGGATATTGCACAGAATCCAAATCGTTGGATCGCGCATCTTACCTCCGCTGACAACCGCCACGCGTTACCTATGTTCACATCGTTATTAAACACGGTTTGCGCGTATGATCCGGTAGGTCTAGGTGTTCCCTACAACCATCTCATTTTTAACGACTCTCTGGAGCCGCTTGTCGAGGCCGCGTTGCAAATTCTGATTGTCACACTGGATCACGACATGAATCTCGGTGCGCATCTTGCTGGCGAACAGGGTGCGCATCACGCGCCGCACCAGGACGAAGAGCACACCATGGATAACTTGTTTATTAATTATTTAAGCCGCATACATCGCGATGAGGACTTTCAGTTTATTCTACAGGGCATTACGCGTTTGTTAAACAATCCGCTAGCGCAGACTTACCTGCCTAACAGCACGAAGAAGGTACACTTTCACCAGGAGTTGCTGGTTTTCTTCTGGAAGCTGTGCGATTACAACAAGAAGTTTTTATACTATGTACTGAAGAGTAGTGATGTGCTAGAGGTTCTAGTGCCGATTTTATACCATTTGAATGATTCCCGAGCGGATCAATGTAAGTTTTGTTTGTTTTTGTGGTTTATTTTATGAATCTGCAAGGCTTAGCGTGAAAAATTTTGCAGCTCGCGTTGGTTTGATGCATATTGGTGTGTTTATTCTGCTATTGCTCTCCGGGGAGAGGAATTTCGGCGTGAGACTGAACAAACCCTATACGGCCACGATTCCAATGGACATTCCAGTGTTCACCGGAACACACGCTGATCTCCTGATTATTGTTTTTCACAAAATCATTACTACAGGTCACCAGCGACTTCAGCCACTTTTTGACTGCTTGCTTACAATCTTAGTCAATGGTATAAATCAAGAATGCATTCCCAAACAAACCCACGTTTCGTTAATTCAGTATTTTAACTCACAGTATCTCCGTACTTAAAAACCCTCTCGATGGTAGCCTCAACGAAGCTGCTGCACCTGCTCGAAGCGTTCTCCACACCGTGGTTCCTCTTCTCGTCGCCGGCGAATCACCACCTCGTCTTTTTCCTGCTGGAGATTTTCAATAACATCATCCAGTATCAATTCGACGGTAACTCTAATCTTGTTTACACTATCATTCGCATGCGACAGGTATTCCACGGGCTGGCCAACCTGCCATGCGACTACTCGACAATTGCGCGCACGCTCAACAAACGTGCTGAGCGCTGTAAAGTGCGGCAGCTGCAGAGCGCAAGCGTGAATGGTGAAGTGGGTGAGCGCGAATTTGCCGCCACTGTTGGTGCCGAAACCAGCGAACGCGAAGAGGCGATGGAGGGTAGTCATCCAGCTTTACCAGCTGAGCCTGGCACCTTAAAGGCTACCCTACCAGATACACCTGGTATTATGCAGATGACCGAACGCGAAAATGCGCATCCGCAGAGCACTTATCAGCAGGTAGAGGCGCTGAATCTCGCTAACGGAATGGCGACCATTACAATGAACACCCCCAGTCAGGGTAATCCGGATTTACCTCAAAAGGTTGTACAGGAAGATGGTGGTGAACGCGTTAAGGAAAATGAGGACAAAGTACTTGTTACCGAAAAGATGCCTGACGAGGCCACATTAAAGAAACAGACTGTTAACACTGTAAGTTTTAAATTTCAATCCATTGAATTACTGAATTCATTAACACAAAAAAATATGTTTAGAAAAACAGTTTGCGAGTGATACCTACTGATGAAAGCGTCAGCAATCAATGGCAGCCCACAGCCGAGTGGGTACATTCCTGGAAGAGCAAGTTGCCACTGCAGACAATTATGCGACTTCTACAAGTGCTCGTCCCACAGGTCGAGAAAATTTGCATCGACAAGTAACTATCACACAAAAACAATCAAAACAAAACATTACTTATGATTATTATTATTTTAACAGAGGCCTAACCGACGAGAGTGAGATTTTGAAATTCCTGCAGCACGGGACACTTGTCGGTCTGCTCCCCGTGCCGCACCCTATTCTCATCCGCAAATACCAGGCGAACAGCGGCACCACCACGTGGTTCCGCACCTACATGTGGGGTGTCATCTATTTGAGGTACATCCATCACGAATCCTCTGGATTTTCAATTAAAAACCTTACGCTGTTAAAATTGTGTTACAGGAACGTGGATCCGCCCATCTGGTATGACACTGACGTGAAGCTGTTTGAGATCCAGCGCGTTTAACGGCGCACATAAATTATATTTAAATTATTCTAATTTAACTCGTTTCTAATGGACTTACTTTATTAATAAACGCTTGCGAGGTTGAATAGGCTTGTGTATTGTATAGAAGTTTTCCTCTTTATTTGATTCGTTCCTTAAAACACCTTACATTTGGTTTTTGTCACATTCGTACGATTAATAAAGATCAGAATACATGCGTAACATTCGAATTATATAGACGAACGAGAAATAATTTACATATCAAACGTAAGGTTCTTTGTTCTTGTGTTTTTTTTGTTTTGTTTTCATCTTTTCTCTTATTATTATATAATATAAACGCACAGCCCGGATTCAATCATCGACCAACGCGTCGGGGAATCGTCCAAACGAAAATCTCAAGAAAATTCAGTCGCTCATCTGCGCAGCATTTCTTTTCTTATTTTTTTGGCATTCTCAACACACGTCTACAATGCAACATTTACGATGAACACATTTTGTCATATATATATAGATTTATATCTGGTTTTGAATTTATTTGTGCGAATTATTTCTATCAAATTTGGTATGGCGGAAGTTTGGGTGTCGGGAGGGTGTTGGGGGAAGGTCAAAGTGTGAGTGTGCATCGATTGCGGTTTATGTGACGGCCTTTTCGTAGGTTGGCGGCGGCGAGTCTTGGATAATGGTGAGGCGCTCGTTATGCGGGTGCGCGGGCGGCAGCGTGACGGCGATGTGGTACGGCGGCGGCGGCAGCTCAAGCGCGGCCACATTGGCGGCGCTCATGTTGACGACGGCGTGCGTCGGGGGCGGATTGGTCGCGCTCGATGCGTGCGACTCCTCGAACGTGTCGTTCTGCTCGCTGGAGATCTGCACCACCGACGGTGACCGGCTGGTGCGCTTCTGGCTGAACGCCTCGAATAACGAAACAAAGCCGACCGCGAGTAGGATTAGCAGGAGCATGATCAAGAACACGAGCAGCTCCGCACCGACACTTTCCTGCAATGAACTCATGTTGAAGAAAGACGCGTTACCAGATGCTGTATTTACCCCATGGAGATAGTATTTGCTAGCGACGACCATAAACGGCACGAGGCTGATGATCGCCCAAACACCACACTTCAATTTGGCGGTGGTGGAGTTGACCACGTGGCCGTTGGTGCCATCGCTGCCATGCCCACCGGAGGAATTGATAGGGGTGAGGGTACCGCGATGACCGTTGGACACATAATCAATGGAGACACGCCGCGAAGAACGCTGATGGCTGCTGTGTGGTAAAAAACATGAATTATTGCATATTGCGGGATGATCGAGGGCGTAATGCGTACCTAGCGTTTTGCTGTGGTACCGGAAATCGTGTGTGATAGGATGGCGCGCGCGGATGACGATGAGATTGATGGTGACCCGACGGTGGGTGCTGGTGGTGCGCGTGATGATGACTCTGGTGGCTGTGGTTTTGTCCGTGGTGGCCGTGCAGGTGAGCGTGCAGGCCGCCGGATGCGACACTCTCGATCGACTGGAAGCGATGCACCGGAGTGACCATTGGCTTAGGGACTTGGTTGCGTCGCGTGCCTGTAAACATCTGTCCTGTACATCGACCGCAATTGTGCATATTTAGTTGGCGCGCGATGGAATAAAACGGCATCTTGCATAAAAACTCCAACCGATTTGTAAAGATGACACTCTTGGCGTGTGAAAAATAAAACATATGTCACACTTTGTTTTCGCCTCCACGACGAAAACAAAAGGGGACATTTTCCGTTCAGATTTCATTTGAGTTTTCTTACCAGCTGATATCGAAGGCGGCACGTATCTACCGTTGAAGCCACAACCTTGACTCTTGTTGATCCAAAAATGCATTTATGACCGTTTTACTGCGAGTGCTTGTTTGGCGAAAGTTACGCGGTGGTCGGCCACATTGCCAACTCCGCGCCGCAGCGAAATGACCCAATTTTCGCACAAGTTTGGCACTAGGATTTGGAAAGATTTATTTATTTAAACAATATCGCGCCACGCTCACACCGCACGACACTGTTTCGTTATCATCTTGTCACAGACAGTCATGGCTGGCAGCGAGCGGGACCCGTCGCGAACTTCACCTGTCGTCACGGATGCTGCAGCGAGCAAAACAACGCCAGATGTAAACAACCCTCGGCCTCATGTGCATGGTGTCTCGCCGTCGCGACGCGGTATTGATTTTCGCGGGGGTCCCCGAGACGCCCGCGTCGGTGAAATTCGTATTTCCCTTTCATATGCAACCCGGCTGTCGACGCACGCCTTCGCCCCCTAGTTGTTAGCAGGGTTGTTATGGTTTTTCATTGATCAAACAAGCAAACAAAAGTTTGTTACATTGACTTCTCAGATTTTCATTTTACCAGTTGTCTCACAATTAATCACCATTTTTTCCCTTTATACAACGTTTTACACCGGCCTGAAGATGAAGGAGATGGATCAGCTGGAGATCATCCAGGAGGAAAATACGGAGTTGATAGATAATCTCTTCGTCCCGGATGTAAACTCCAGCGATCCAGATGAGCGCAAGCTGGCTCGCCACATACGTATACAGAAACGTATTGAAGCCGTGGCGAGGCAGCACAAAGGAATTGAACAACTCCGCGCTGAAAGGGCTGCAGAACGCGTTACCCTCCTTCAGAAACAACTTGAAAAGTCTTCAGAGGTTCTGCATGAGCTTTTCAAAGAGGCCGAACATCAGGTGACAAATGTGCGCGTTGCGAATGACCGACGTGAGGTGGACCGCCGCGAAAACGATGCCGTCCGGCGTACCAGGATCTATGGACAACTTCATGAGGATGCCAAACTTTCGATGGAAATGTTTTCGGAAATTGCCAGTAAATGGGAGAGGATAATGGCGTACAATGATCCATTAAGTATACATGAGGATCTGCTGATGCAAAGGGAGAAGTGTGAGGAGTTATTAAGACAAAAAGACACCGTGATCGCCATGATCAAACATGAGCTGCACCAGGCCGAGTCCAGATTCTATCTGGACCAGCAGTGTCAGAATTCGGACATTCATATACTAGCAAAACGTGTCGAAAGGCAGGTCACAATAATGCGCGCTGCGCATGCGGTAGAACTGCAGAATATTGAAGATGTGATGATCCTGGAACGATCCAACATGATGGAGAATAATGACAAAAGGTGGAACGAGATGTACAAGCGTCGTAAAGAACAGGAGATGGCGATTTCCGACTTCAAAGTAAAACAACAACAAGATTTTGAAGAAACCGTAACGCGCGCAAGGACTAAACATTACGAGAAAATTCGGGAGGTCAAAATTGCTCTCGAACGCGACTGTGGGCAACTACAGAAAGAATTCGAGTACATAAAAACATCCGCGTTAGTAAATTCAGAGAAAATGGACTACAACTATCAGATTCTAAAGAAACGAGAAGATGAGAACATTATAATCAAAGGTAATCAAAAGCGTTTGATCAATAAACTACAGGATACCATCAATTGTCTACGAGAAAAGACCAAACACTATGAGCACCATACCAAGGCCCGTGTGTCAAAGCTATGCAACGAGATACTGTCGTTGCAGAAGAGTATCAAAAATGAAAAGAAGAAATCCAAGATAGTTGCTGTCACCAATGACCAGAAGTATATGGATATCTGGGAGTTGAATCGCAAAGCAGCGAACAAAATCCTGAAGAGAATCATGGAAATGGACAAATTGCTGTATGTCCAGCAGTTGGGTATCACATGGAGAGAGCCCAAAATCAAACTACAGGTGAAGGAGAAAATGCCTTCGTACAAATCAGCAGTGAAATATCTGGAAGAGCGGTATGGTTATGTCCCGGCGGTAAACAGACAGAAAAAGAGGAAAAAAAAGATCGTTCTACCTGCAAAAATGGGCAAAGTCCAGAACAATTTCAGTTACAGGTACCCTCTTGATAAAAAATAGTTCAATCAAAGATATCTCCAAATGTTTTCTTCATTTTCAGACGTCTTATGCGTATTGTACTGGAAAAACTCGCCGACAATGGTGGTTTCCTTGCCGAGTCAAAAATAAACGATTTGGTTGTTGATGCCTCCAGGAGTGAGCAGGTCCTTGTCAAAGTTGACAGCGTTCTGGACACGTTGGGCATCAACCTTGCGTGCGATGTGAATGTGATGCGGTATTTCTTCCGACCGTACATTTACTGCCCGGTGTGCACCCCGAATGTTTTGCACTTTGGTGCTGGTGACGAGGAGGTCTCCAGCACGGACACCACGTTGTCTCAGTTAGTTGACGGGATCCCAAACACTGACCAGGCTACAGTTGGGTCTAATGGTTTCCAAGTGGGCACCTTGCAGGGAATGCAGGGAACCATGACGGGACGAGAGTCGGATAAAACAGTGGATACTATTGTCGTCAGTGTGCTGAGTGGTAAGCGGCCCAAACCAAGCATCAGTGATCTGAGTATTGTTCAGAAAGAAGGCGAGTGTATTGGACCAGCACAGAGGATTGCAAAGTAAGAAAAGTTGGAATTTCAATACAAAATAATAATATTTAAGTTTGTCTAGTGCTGAAAAGAAAATGGCACAGATGGTGGACCATGTGACAGTGATGGGAGACACTGATTTTGAGTACTGCTTGTTGAATCATCCGCTGTACATGCATCCATCGTTGGTAATGCGTGCCCTTCGTGAATTTGTAACGAGAGTAAAGTGTCAAACCGACGGAAGGTAAATGTTAACTTAATTAAGTTACCATAGTACTGTAGAGGTTATAAAGTTGCTGATTTTGCAGGGACTTGTTACCATCAGATACAGAATTGTGCAAATCTCCTCAGACTATATCCCGACTTTTGAACCCCGATGAAATCAAGGAGTACTGGGAGCGTTATAAGGTGATTTTGGCTTCCCGGACTACCGAATTGTGGGAAGCCCTTGGATATGGTATGAGGAAGTACCATCGCATTCTGGAAGGTAATAAATCTGAACCTGCGTATTGAGTGATGGTATACCGTGAGGAAATTGATTTTCAGATCGGCATAGACTCAATGAAGAGTTGAAGAGCTTGCAGAAACAAAATAAAGAATTGCGGTACCTTCTCTACAAGTTCTCCAGTACTCCACCTAATACCAAAATGAAGCCCCCGTGTGCTATTGAGCGGAAGAGTTACGAAGTGATGCGGGTCACAGATTTACAACTGGATGACCGCCTGGACCTACGAAGGCAAGATTAACAAGACGCAGATTATTTGGATGTATTTTTTCGACCGATTCTTGAAACATGCAAATTCTTCAGTGTTTATTTGCGGCCGATTTGTGTTGATTAATTCGCGCTGATTGTTTGGGAAAGTCGGTGCGAAAAAGGGCAGCGCGTCGTTTTCGGCTACTTAGCGTGGAATGCCTTGCGGGTCGCAGCCGGTGCGCCGTGCGCACGAAAAACTACACCGTCATTAATTTAAGTATAGGTTGTCGTAAATGTTTACCGCTTCGAATTAGCCCGCGAACAATGCGCGCCGCGCACGGCGATCGATCGGTTGGCCGCGCGGGTTATATGGGAGCGTCGATTATCGTTCCCAGCATTTTTGAACGTGCGCGCCGCGCAATTACCACGCATCGTCGTGGTCGGCGCTTAAATTGTGGGGGTGCGCGGACAAATAAATCGACGCGCGATTATCGAGAACCCATTGGCCCCGATTCGCGAGTCGGAGCGAGACGGCGAGCTTCCACTGGAATGCACCCCGGCGCCGTGCATGAATGAAAACGAAGAAGAGTGAGGAAATTTTCCACGCGACACGTCGACAACCCTCCGAAGAGATCGGAGAGATGTCTTTTTCTTGCAGCGATGTGTTTGTTGTTGGTGGTGTCGGTGAGCTTGTCGTGTTGTTGTGCGATGAGGACGCGCCTTGGGTGGCTTCGACGGTTTCGTTATCAGCACCGAGCAAACACGGCAGAGGCCCGCGTCAGGCCGGTGGACCTCACAAAACGTTATCTTTCGGCGGGCGCAAAGCGGATGGGCCTCGCGGCCGATGTCGCTTGTCGCTTGTCGCTTTATTGAGATGCGGACGCCGATAGAGCATCGACAATTTTATTAGGCATAATTTGTGACGTGCCCGCACGGACTAGTCGAATAAAACAATAAACGCGACGAGCAGGCGTAGGAAAACAAAGAGCCCGAGAGGCAAACGCCCGCGAGGACGAGGAAGGAACGCCAATAAACTTGTGTGAACGTCGGCGCTGCTTTCCATTCATTCCATCAATTATCTCACTTTTCGTCTCACTAAATAGATTCATCAAACGTCGCACCAGCACAGCATTTTTTATCGAGTGGTTTACCTACCGGGGCGAAGCGGGTTTTAATTTTTAATTAGGGACAGACCTTAAATAGCTCTCGAGGTAGGTATTCATTATAAAGTAGCTCAACATTCGGGTACACCAGAAGATAATCTGGTAATCTTTTGTATTCTTTAACTTTTAATAAAGTATTCAATAAGTAGATATGATTTTGACCCAGATTTCCTATTGCTCCTGAATACCTTGGGGTACCATCAAAAGTGGAGAGTCACCAGGATCAAGGAAAAGAGTTTTTTATAAGTTGATGTGATGTAGACGCAAATTACGGATTTCTGAACTAATTTTTTGGGGTACCATCAAAAGTTGGGAGTCTCCTGGATCCAGGAAGAGAATTTTTAATAAGTTGATAGAATTTAGACGTAGATTACATTTTTTGAGATACCATTGACAATTGGGGGTAACCCGGACCCAGGAAAAGAGGTTTAAATAAGTTGATAGGATTTAGATGCAGATTACGGATTTCTCAACAAATTTATTGGGGTACCATCTAAAGTTGGGGCACACCTGAATCCTGGAAAAAAGTTTTTTGTAAGTTGATATGATTTAGACTCAGATTACGGATGTCTCCTCAACATTTTTGTGGTACCATCAAAAGTTGGGAGTCACCTGGACCCCGGAAATCTCCCGATGGAAAAATTCGAGTTGATAGTTGATAACCGAGGAGCGGCGAGAAGAAACGGCGAGCATCCGTCGCACCACAGAAGGGGTCATGGGAAAATATCGAAAACGTGCGCGTGTGTGGGACGCGCGCTGGAATTTCGTATATCATTGCTTTTGTTCTGCGCTGGTCCGCGTCTGGCCGGCGCGCGGAATGCGCGAGGCGAACGGTGCGATGCGCCCGTGGAATATTGAAAATGTGCGGGTGTTATAGGTTGGGCGCGCATCTCTTTGGCAGGAACTAATAATTACCTACGTGCGCACAACATCCGTCCGCGCGCGCTCTCCGCCTGGCTGTACAAACAGCCGTCGTGCCCATCGGAGGCCCACGTATTTGCATACACTAATTGTTTCTCGGCTCGCGCGCCGGGGAAATGTCATCGCGCCCGCCGGCTCGCAGCTTTCTAGAAAATTACGACCGACAGGTTCGAGCAAACACACTTCAAGTGCTACAAATCGCAGACACCACAAAGCAAAGATCCTGGCGCAGCAAAAAAAAAAAAACGCAGAATTTTTTTCTTGGTTCAAAAAGCATTCAATTGAATATTTTCGTGGCTGGAACAACAAGATAAAAGTGTGGTAAGGACTGTGTCGGATGTGTCATGGCGCCTTGTTTCAGCCTCGTTGGACTCCTCGGTGAATAGACATACGAGTTCCGCCTTTACGACGCGATAAAAATCACGATTTTCAATAGACCAGAGCATGTTTCTGACCCGAAACGAAACCGGCGACGTCGAAACGAACAAAATCGATTTCCCATCGCGCATCGCGACGAATGAATCGCTCATTGTTCTCGCGGCATGGCGTTTTTGTTGCTCGCGACGCGACGAACAATCGAATCGATTCATCGAATTTATTTTCTCTCGTGACGTCGCATTCTCGCTCGCGACGAACAAAGTACAAGCCATTGTGCTCGCCGGGCCGCCGTCGATGGCGTCCCAATAATAATAACAATTTAACATTTGACTCTCGGGCCGGAGGACGACGACGCGGCGAATAAATAACTTCATGTAGGAGGCCTGAAAGCGCGCCGCAGAATTCCTCATTCATCGCACTCGGCTTAAGTCATGAAAAGGTGAGTCTCAGCCACTTCGCCGCGCGCCAATCGCCAGCCGGGCCAAGCAATGAAGGCGTGCTAAGCACCTGGGAGGCGGCGCTCACCACGACCAACCATCACCCAGCAGGTAATTTTCCATTCCGGCCGATGCGTTTCTCCTGCTTAATTACGTGCGGCGTGTGAAATTAAGCAATTATCTCGAGCGTTTTTAGCATTTTTAATGCGCTCGGCGAGTTATTGCCATTTCCACTTGTTTACATACATTGGCAGACCTTAAAGCACATTTTTTATCACGCTGCGAGACGTCACTTTATGTCTCAGGAAAATCGCAAACGAGTTGCGCGAGCATTATTTTAATAGGCGTTAAAATGGGCGAAACTCTCGCGCACAATGGCATTTCGAACAATACGTTCGGGATCGTATCATAAAAATCAATGCGTCGTCGTCGTCGTCGGCAATTTTAATTGGAAAATGTTTAATGGTTTATTGTTCGCGGGTAATTAAGCGCGCGCATAAGTAAAAAAATCAGCGAAATTTCAGCGGGCCCGCAGCCAATTATGGCGAATGCGGGAAAACCAGCGACTTGGCGAAGGAGAGAGGAAGGAGGTAAGGTAAGAAGTCAGAAACAAGTCGTCGTCGTCGTCGTCGTCGCCGCATTGCGTCGTCCTCTCATCCTTATATAGGCACACGCGGCAACGTGTTGAGACTTGTACAGAAATGTGCTGGTATGGATGCTGCATCCGCGCGGTGTAAGCGACCGATGCGCGGCGAAGCTGCGGACTGCCTGGCTGTGGCCGGGCCGGCTGGCCGCGGCCGGCGCGTGGGAACTGCACAGTAGTGTAGTGTCTGGCTCTCGCACTCACACAGCCGCACGGGCGACAACGACTCTCGCCCGCCCGCCGCCCGTCGCGCATAATGGGCGCGCGTTCGTGTGCGTTCAACTTGGAAGTAACTTAAGTTAAGTGACCAACTACTACAGGGTACCACTGTGTGCACGGCGAACAAGAGCTGTTGGAAGTTGGAAGACGTTGACGACGACCGAAGACGACGATGAAGTCGCAGCGAGCGTGGAATGCGTGCCCCCCACGTTCTTCTCACCGAGTCTCGTCCTCGCCGAGATGCGCATCCATTGTCCGCGAACGCACTGCGAGAATGCGCGGCGTGTAGGTGTAGTTTTATGAATGTACCAACATCGTGGTGCTTCTTTTAGGTACCTACATGCTGGCGGAGTTTCAATACTCGCGCGCGCGCACACAATGCGCACGCGTGCATTACTTTGTAAATGTGCTCGTTTCCGGAATCGAGAGCAATTAGAAAATGGCGGAGGCGCGCTGCTACTGGTTAAGCGCGGCGGGCGCACCACGAGTTGCTGGTAGCCGGTAGCGCGGCCCCGGCGTTTTTTACGTTTTGGCGCCGGCGGAGTGGAAAAAACGGTAGCCGCGAACCAACCGCGGTAGCCGACGCGCCGGGGCCCGCCTCCCCTCCGTGTGCGCGCCGCGCCGCGCTGCCGGCCTCGCAAGAAGTGCATCCTCAGCATCCTGCATCATGCATGCACATGCGAGGCGCGCCGCAGCGCTGCTACTGGTCACACACACACGCGCTCCTTTCCCAGCCGACGAGTGAACGGTAGCGAGGCGCTAGCTTGCTAGCTGCCTGTTGGAGCTTGCTGAACCAGTTAAAACAGCCGCCGCGGCTCCTGAATCTCGCATCCAACCTGCCGCGGCGACAAATCCCACATAGCCAGCCTACCCACTACCTACCCAAACAATCGGAATTTGACGGATCTTCAAATCATCTTTTAAACGATTTGGAAAAGGTCCTGGTATGCCACCGAGCGAGCGTGGCACGCCTGGAGTGTTCTCATCTGGGTGATGGTACCCATTGCGTTCATCTCGTGCTCCTTGACGAGGTCTCCGTTGCGCGGCGGCCGCAGGCGACGAACGCGTAATGTGCACCGAAGCTCGAGCATCGGGGGATCATTACCGGTGTAGTACCTTGTGTGCGCTGGTCGCCCGGGCATGGGAGCACCCTCGGGGCGGGTGCGTGCGTGCGTGCGTGCTCCCACAACTCACTCGCCGGCGCGAGCGGCTCTCGAAGGAGAGCGACCGAGCGCGACGGCGACGCCGGTGAAAGAGAAACGATGCGAAAGGTTAAAGTTAACGCTTGACTCTCAGGCTTGGGAAGCGCCCGCGGGTGCTGGTAGCCGCTGCCCGGGCGCGCATCCAGCCGGTAACGCACCAAGAGCGCGGAGGGCAAAGGTCGGCGCGCTTTTTCTGCCCGCGCTGCCATACTCACCATCGGTATCTACGTACCTACCAGCAACAACACGAAGACGTGCGTCATCATCATCCGCATCATCGATACCGAAACCGCGAAACTGGTAGGACCGGATGCTGGATGAGGATGAGGATGATTGCGCGATGTGTGTTGGTTCTGGTCAAACACAGATCATAGCCGCGAAGAATTTCGCGGAAGTTTACGCAGCGCGGCCGCAAACGAAGGCTGGCCGTCTACGGTTTTGAGTCACTCGGCGCATGAATGAAGCGAAAAATTCCACGATTTCGAAATATGAATGAATTGGCGCGATGAGATGCGATGCGCGGCGCGTGAATCACGGCTAGAATCCAACATTCAACAGCATTGCGCGCGCGGCGAGAACAGAAGAAGTGAAAGTGCGCGCGTTGTTGTTTTTTCGTTTGCCTGCGTCTTCGCGTTCGTGGAACATTCAAGTAGCGCTGCGCATCGCTGCGGCGCGCAAAGAGCACAGCGATAAATTAACAATATATTAAAATGCGCGATGCTGGTGTTGTGAGAGCGGCAAAATTCCGCTCGGCGGCGCGTTCGACGAAAACGAAGAGCGCGTCTCTATTTGCGTTTTGTGCTGTTTGCGGCCGCGCGCGCGGTTCCGAGAAACGGCGCGTTATCGAAACGACGCCGCCGAGTTTTACTGTGCGATTAGACGCGATTAGGACGCATGGATGGATGCGTTTGAAGTTTATGACGCGCCAGACGCGACAATAAAAGGCGCAGCGTAGCGCAAATATGCCGAACGGCGCATCGGGTTTCGAGAAAAGCGTGGAACTCGAGGAAAACAAACGCCGCATACTCAATTTGTCTTTTGATAAGCGCGGTGTGTAAACGTTGTAAAAACTGCATTCTTCGACGGGCGCGCCGCCCAAAGTTGGCATATATGCATGCCATCATGATGATGGTTTTGGCTGGCTGCTGCCACTGCGCGACCGCCCGCCGCGGATCGATTAATATTTATTCGCGGCGGCGGCGGCGGCGCACATCAAACCCGGCGACAAGCGGCGCTGCGGTGACGCGCGCGGACTTTTATTGCGCGCAGCGGCGATAGAGTCATTTTCTCTTTTTCGGAGGAGGCTGCGAGCAGCGCGACGAAATTAACATAATTTTCGTTTTGTGTCCCCGCGCGCACCCGTCGACTGTTTGACTGTTTGGGCTTCTTGTGCGCGTCTTCTGTGCGGCGGTGTGCGACGACGATCCGCCGCACCAATCGCGGTTATTTATGAATTTATGTAAAACGCGGTCGACGCGCGCGACATGCTCGGCCGTAGCGCTTCACAAATTTACATTTTAATTTCGAAATCTTCTATATCTGTTTTTCTTTATATTTATATTTATTGTTCGACGACTGACGACGACTGCTGTGTGCTTCTTGTTGGCATTTTCGAGTACCTATTGTGCAATCGCTGTGGTGCGATTTGCGCACATCGCGCCGCAACAGCTCAATTTGGAGCACTCAACCGGAAGCCGATGTGTGCGCGCCGGGCGAAAATGCTCCACCGAACAATTGCCGGGGTGCAATTAAAAAGATATTACCTACGACGTGGAGGCGCGCGAGCGGATTCGCCGAGGCCGCGAAGAGTGTCCGAAGCAGCGGAATTTAGCCTTATGCGACCGTGTCGTAGAGACGGGGCGAGCGCAGCGCGCTGGAGGCGGACGGCGATGGGCCGCGGCGCTCAATGAGAACCGCGCGCGAGCGAGACGGGCGCGCGCCGGGCGGAGCGGGCGGCGGCGGGAGCGGGCGGCGCGCCGCGCCCGCGCGCCCGCGTGCGTGCACTACCGAGCCGACCATTGGGCTACCATCGCCGGATCGGCAACAGAAGCATTCTAACAGCAGCCGAAGCGAAGAGCGGAGAACGCAGCGCGGCTTCCCATCGGCACACCGAGCGTCGAGCATCGAGCAGAGATCGCAAGCGCAGCTTCCATCGCCGTCAGCCGAGGCTTCCACGGGCCGAGCACCGTTCGCGCAGCGCACACCGTTTTTCGGGCCGAAACAGTTGCGACCTGCACACGACCACACGACGCCGTCGTTAGCGCACTCGCCGAACGACCACCGCACTACGAACTACCTGCCTGCGCTCCCCGGTGACGACGAGCCGCAGAGAGCCATCGAGCGAAGACAGAAAGTCAAAGTTCACGCGATTGCTGCGAAGCGGCGAAAGTTGCCCAGCGCCGAAATCCGAAAAGCCAGTGTGAAAAGTGCGACTGCTCAGTGCGACGACTTTCAAACTTTCCAGGTAAGCATTTTTGCATTTTTCCCACACACACACACACGTCATTTATCGCCCTTCGAAAAAACCCGCAAAAAATTCGCCGTAAATTCATCATAACTTAATAAAAAAAAAAAATTTAATTCGAAAAATTTTACGAAAAATTTTCAACTTCCAACGTTCTCAAGACAATAAGACGTGCAATGAATCGGATTGAATAAATTTGATGTGATTAAGTAAATGCGGGATGATGGCACATCTCGGTGCGAATTCGTAACGACTTAAGTGCGCCGCGGCGGAGCGCGAAGAGCGCTAAGTAGAGGCGCGTGACTCATCGCCGTTTCACTCGGCGCTTGGCCGAGCGCCGCGCGCGTCCTACCGGATTACGACGTGCCGCGTTCGTCGTTTCGAGCTGCCACCGCGTTACGCGCGTTACGCCACCGCTCTCTCGCCCGGCGCCCCCACTACACGCTCGTCCACGGCCGCGAATGCTCCGCAGGATCTCACAAATCCGGCCGCGGCCGCGCCAGCCGAGAAAGGCGAAAAAAAATGGCACCCTTTGCCGTGTATTCATTCTCGATTCGAAATCTTCGCGTTCGTAACAATTTGTTATCATCAGGTGATTTGAATTGAATGGAATAGGCGTTACTGTTGTAGCGTACATGCTGTACGGACGCGAATTAGCATAAGTATTACTTGCAATCGAAACGTCTATAATTTTCTCGATCTTATTCAATCGACGCAGGAAGCGCGAGGAATTCTCATTCACCGGGAACGCGGGCGCACCTTTAGACGCGCGAGCGAGTGAAATCTTTGGTGTGAAAAGTTGGTTTTTGTCGCGATGCGTACACGCGCAGGGGTGCTGCCTGCCGGGGTCGGCGTTAACATTCTCCTAATGACTTGGCGCTTTCTTATCCAGTTGCACCGGCGGAGTCGTGCTGCGGCTCCAAATTTATTCATAATGCGATCGGAACAATACGAATAAATTCGATTTGACACATCGCGGCGCGCCGCGGAGGGCGGCCGCGCCGTCGGATCGCATTGTTGTACAATAGAATGTTAGCACTCCTTTTTCGTGTCTTCTCGATGTGTCTGTGTGTTCTAATGCCGCGCGCATCTTGGCATTCCACGCTCATCACCGACGCGCTCGAATCGATTAAAATCGCACTCAATTATGTTTTGCCTGTTTTGTTCAACCTAATGCATGGGAAAATACAGTTTCAGTGCTTGCAGGCGACGTAATGCATGTGATTTGAAAACGTCAATTATTTTATCAGAGAAAAAAAAAATAAGTTGTTGTTGTCACAATTTCCAAGCGAGTTGAAACCCTCGCGGGTGCGTGGTGAGGAAATGGAGAAACATCGCGTTCCGTGCGCTATGCGGCTGACTTTTTCACCGTTCGCCCGTTTCGAAAATTACACAGCGCACGGCCGCACTTAAGCACGTCTTGTTGCCGGCCGCGCTTCTCGTTACTCATTACCCGGCTGGTAGCTCACAAAATACAAACAATCGGCGTGTTTTCCCCGTTGCGCGCGGTGTGTGCGTCATGACTGCTCCTGGTCATAATTTCCATCATGCAACCAGTTGGGGAAAACGGCGGAGCGTGAGCCGAGAAGAGCCAAACGAGCCGGGCACGCTCGTTTCGTAAACGGTAGCTGATGGGGGCCGCGGCGGCAGCTCTCACGCATCTCAAATTATTGTACTCGGCGCTGCGAGTATTTCACAATTATACGTATTACGCGTTTTCGGGGCCCCAAGAAGACACCGGGGCTTCGTTCACAGCGCAATTTGTACACGCAAATTGATCGAATTTATTACCGATTGTTGTGTGTGTGCGTTTTTTTTTTCTCTTCCGCGAAAAACAATTCTCCGCGCGCGGCGCGCATAAACATGGATGATTTATTTCAACACACATGGATGATGGTGATTTTATTCTGTTGGTTGCAGCAGGGACCCGGACTCATTCGTCTGCCGGCGCGTCTAGGATTCCGGATATATCTACCGCAACATAATTGCGAAAACGTCGGAGCTGCCACACACGCCGCAGCACCGATCACACAGCATCACCGCGTCGGCAGCATTCCGCAGCGCAGTCGTCCGACAACAACTCACCAGGATACACACACGAATTATTCATACAACCAACGCGCACCAACGGCGGTGTGATTTGCGGTCCGCCGGCGTGAGATCCTAGTGTGCGGTGAGACGCGCGCAACCCGTTCGCACGTGATAAGCAGCCAGAGCGCAGCGCGGTAGCCGGGCGCCAAGATGTTCGCCATAATGCAGATCGACAACGACGTCAGCGGGCGCGAGTTCCGTCGCAAGATGCGCGCCAAGTGCGAGTTCATCTGCAAGTACTGCCAGCGCCGCTTCACCAAGAGCTACAACCTGATGATCCACGAGCGCACGCACAAGAGTCCCGAGCTGACGTTCTCCTGCGAGGTGTGCGGCAAGAGCTTCAAGCGCCAGGACAACTTGAAACAGCACAGGTACCCCCCGAACAACCACCACCCACCACCCCTTTTAAAACCCACACCATCCATGCCTCCATCCTCCATCGCGAACCTCCTGTACAAATCTAATTAATGGTAATGACTAGTTGCGCGATTCAAATTGGCAATTACATTTTGGCCGCACACGCCGTCTGGAAGCGTGCGCGCCATTCAATTAGCGACACGTTAAATTAACGAACGCGGCGCGTGCTCGTTTCGAAACCGAAAATTAATCGTCCGGCCGCGCGCGGCCTAATTGATAGGTAGCCGGGCCGGGCCGCGCGAGCTCGAAGAAAATTAATTACAAATCGCGATCACTCAGTCACACATAGGTAGGTATCTGCTGCGCGTCTACCTACAACGTCGTCGTGGCGCATTTTCGGCGTCCGCACGCTTTACGACGCCGCGCCGCGAGTTTTACGTAATTTATGGTTTTATTGGCGTGTGCAGCACGCGCGCGCGTACACACGACCCTTATCGCCGTCAGTCAACAATCGTAAACATTTCGTGCATTTTGATTGCGCGCAATTAAGGCTTAGCGGCCCGAACGAGGACACAGCATCGTCCCCAACAACAACAACACAACTCCGTCGTCGTCGCTGTCGCCGTCGCCGTCGCCGTCGTTCATCACCAAAAAACAGCGAAAGGAAATTGTTTTTTTTATGTTGCGTCAAAGTTTGTCATCTCGTTTCGCGACGCGCCGACTGCACAAAAGCCAACTCAACACACGGCGAAAACGCGCGCACACCTCAGGTGTGTTAATAAGTCATAAAACTTAACAACGCACACACAAATTGCGTCTAAAGAAACGCGTCAGACCGTTACGAATCCGTCATAATTTTACGACGGCGCGAGCGCGCGCCCAAATTTACAACCCCGGCGCGAAATTAAATCTGAAGCGGCGCGAATCGTCGCGGTGTGTGCGCATGCGCGCCATACTTACACCTTACTCACCACACATCCCCGAAACGATCCCCATTTTGTGCATAAATACTGTGTTTATTGTCTGATGTGTTCTGATTGTAAAAATGATCGATTTACTTTTAGATGTAGTCAATGCATTTGGCGGTGAATGCGAAACGGGGGCCTCTCTGTCTCTATGTGCGGTCGCTCGGGTGGAGGGGGTGTTGCGCAACACGCACAGACACAAACAAGCCGCCACGGCCAGCAACTCACACGCACACAATCTACGCCTACACACACACACACTCAACAACTCAACATACACACAATTACTACTACTACGACACTACCACACTACCACAATATGCTACACACACACACCTGGGCGCGTTCCGTTCTTCCTACTTTTCACATGCACACATGCACAGCGTAAGGATAATGCTTATTTTTTCTTTTTAATCAATGATTAATTCGATAATAACGCTTTGAATTTTTGATTTTTCATTAATTTTATAATTCAATTTCAATTCAATTGCATCCGATTTGTTTGTTTGCTGTTAGCATGATGAAAATTGACACGATGCTGTGCTTTGGTTTTGCAGGACAATTCACTATCCAGCCACGTCGACGAACACCAGCTCGACGACGAACTCAACCACAACCTATGGTTTCTCGCGCTACTAAAATGGCGGCCAGCGACCAGCGCCCTCGGACGAAACAATTCCTAAATGCACAGCAGTATTCGCAACCACTACCACACTCGCTCTAAATATTACTACTACTCTACTGGAAGGATTACATTATATTTATTATGCATTTTTATCTCTCGCAGCGATGGAATTCTTGTACATACCGCCACATTGTGTTTGTGTGCAATATTTTTTAATCACACGAATTTTACTACACTACACACACACACACGCATACGCATACAACACGCTACTTAGCTTCTAACATTTAAGGCGACGTACTTGCATTAATTTTTATTTATTGTACATACATGCGTTTATCGTCTCTATACGCTTATTAACGAACGCGCGCCCGCCGCCTCCGGGACTGCATAGTCGTTTTGGGCAGCAGCAAGACATATGCCAGTTGCCGCACAGCGCACCCAGCCATCCCGACAAGAGTTGGTTAATCACTTTAATCGCGTGATTGATTAATTGCTCACATTGCGCATTGGGGGCGGCGCCGCGCGGTCTAACGAAGAGCATTAACAGCCTAATTTATTGTCGATTTGATTTTTATTAACACAGCATAGATTTCTAGCCAGCGTAGTAGCATAGATGTTATTTTTAGAGGATATTTTATTTATTAAGCGTTAAAAAATAATTAAGCCAACGGATACGCGCGCGCGCGCGCGCGCACAGCGCCGACATAACGATGCAATAACGCCCGTGTGTATAAATAATGTTTAATATTATATATTGCATAAATTATGTATGTTTACGAATGCGAACCGGCGTGCTCGAAGCTGCCGACTGTAATAAATAATGTGCTTTAATTTATATAAGAGAGTTTCTTTCGTGTGCTCCTTTTCTTGCTTCACTCACGCTGGTCCCCGACGCGGCCATCTGGGGCCCTCCTCGTAAACACGACGTTAATGGCGATGTTTTGACACTTGACGATTAGGTTAGGTGAGGTTAGGTGACCGTCCGGTGACAGGTGTTTACGCACACCGCGCACACACAACACAACAATGGCATTTCGGTTTGATTTCGAGCTGCAGAGCTCATTTTACGTGTGTATTATCTCAGCTGTAACGGATTCAAAGATTTAACTTGTTTAAAAAGTGTTTAAGCGAGAAAATAACTATAATTAAGAAGAGATCTGTGAAGTTTAACAACTTTGAGTTTAACTTGTTAATGCGTTCTGCTGTTGTGGCGCGCGTTTTTTTTTTTAACGTTTCCTTAAGCGTTTTCTCATTTATTTAACAGTTTTAAAGGTTTTGTTGGCTTTTTAACTTTATGACTTGACGCTTTATGACGATTGACAATCTGTGACAGTTCTTTATTGCGATGGGCCAGCGATCGATCGTTCGGGGGCCATTAAAATTCGGCGTGACAGAAATAGAGTTTCCAAGCGCGCTTTGATTCGGTGACCTTATGAGTGGGTAATAGGCAAATAATACTAGGTAGCCTGATGATGGTAAGTAGGCAGGAACGATGCTGCAGCGCAAAAAAAAATGCGCGCACGATTCCACGATCGATCATCGATTTGCTTCCTGCTTGTACGCCGCGGTACGTAATGCTGCCGCAATCAATATTGTGCAGTGCGCGATCGATTTCTCGCGGAGTGATTACTCGCTCACCGTTTTCGCACGATACGGTACCGATTACGCTTGCGATTACGCAACCCGAGTCCCTGTTAAAACAAAATCACAACGCAATCGCTTTTTTCGATCCGGGAGACGAAGTAGTTGAAGAGACGAAGATGAAGATGAAGAAGAAGCGCCTAACGGGCGATCGCGTCGCTGCCGGTGGTGTTCCAGTTCTCAGCACGCAGCGGCGGCGGCGGCAGAGAACGCGCTCGCATTGTTTTTGGCTGGTTTGTGTGTGTGTTTGATGTTTAAGAAAGAAAAGAAAAAACGAGCGAAACAACAAAACAACTTCACGATTTTTCGTATTTATGAATGAAAACTCTCGCGTGTGTGTTGCAACCGGCTGCGGCAGTCGCTTTTGTTCGCGGCCGGTGCTCGCGCGCGGTGCGCCTGCCGCCTCGGGCGGCAGCGCCGCTCTCGCCGCTCACCGCGCTGCGCTGCGGAGGTTGTGAACCGCGCGCCTTCGTGATTCTCACACCCGCACACACACGGCACGTCGCCGCACGTTTTCTTCCTCTGTTCCTCTTCATCTGCGCTGCTGCCCCGCCATGCATGCCGCGCACATCACGCCGATTGTTATTTACAAACTTTACAAATTAATAGAAAACCGCACACTGCACAGGTAACACATCAGCATGTTTTGATGACAAACGAAAATCGATCGCATGAAAAATGAACGTTTTAATTAAGCTCCGGCCTCGTTAACTGCCTGTTTGCTTCGCTCGAGACGAGTAATTTCAACCAACTTGCACGCGCGCGCGCGAGTTTGCCTAATGAGCATTTGCCGAGCTTTCTAACGCGCAGACACAATACTGACACTTCTATTATATTCCACTGAAACTCCGCGTATGTTGACATTTAATTTCACTCATCGTCCGCGTTGCCGAGCAGGCAACAAGCCCCTTTCGACTTGTTGCACTTGCAGATGACAAACAAAAATCTCCGAACGTTTTAATTAAGCGCGCATAAGCGTATTCTCGTTAGCCGCGAGGTCGACTCCTCGAACCACCCTTGACAACGAGCCCCGATTACCGAGATTATTAATTATCTCGTTAATAATTTCCCATTCGCTCGCATCTACCTGGAAGGCAATTTTCTCCGTCTCGTTGACTACTTAAAACCTCGGAATTAATTGATTCTCCTCCAGCGCTCGAAAAACAAGAGTCATTGTTTGATATATCAATTAGCGCGATGCGTTTTACAAGCGTCTTCAGCGCTGCAGTGCGTAATTGTGCAATTCATGCCCTCGATGATCAAAACTTTTTGTTAATTTCGGCCCGAAGGTCTTCATCAATGGGTGGCGCTGTGGAATGCATTCGGAAAGTGCAAGCAGTCATCGACCACCACCACCACATCCACCCCTCAAATTTGAAATCGGATACAATATATAGGTACCTATTAATAGCAAGGTACGAATAGGTAACAAGCAAGCCGAGAGAGTGATTTAAGCACTTCATCAGCGGTTGTGGTTTCCTCAATGGGTGGTTTTCCGTGTCCGCTACGCCTCGGGGTCGTCAATGAATGTCGTAAAGCTCGAGGGGACAAATTGAACGATCAATCGATGCACAGATAACAACCGGCCGCGCCGGAGGGAAAACGACGAGGCAAATAAACAACCGCGCCCGGAGATAAAACCGAAACGTTGGTTTTTAGGTGTCGCCTTAAATTATTGACGTTGTTCTACGAGACACGGGCCCAGGCTCGGGCGCATCGCACGACTAATTGGTCGCTGCGTGTATGTATACCTACACACACATATACCTACATACAGAGTTGGTGTGAGGTGAACAACAGGTGAGAATTATTGCGGCGATATCGTCGCAACAAGCGACAAGCGACAGGTGTGGCCTTTATCTGCCCGGCGTTCCCGCAGGATGGCGGCCATCGAAGGATGATCGATATGCTTTGTGGACGTTTAGCCGGGCTGAGCGCGCGCGCGGAGGGGAGCGGCTATTGTGCGCCCGCGGCCGCCGGCGGGGCGACTCTCGACAACTCTCCACACTCACCTTCGGCCGCCGAGCCGAGTCAAAGTGCATTCTTTGTGCGCGCGATGCTTTATGCCTCATTCTTTATTCGTTAATCTTTCATTCTTTCTTCGATTCATTCGTCGGGCCGCGCGTCTTTTTATCGTAGATGTCAATGAATATGATGAGATCGGGCCGGGCATGCCCATCGGCATTCTTTGTGTGATTTGCTGTGACCGCGTCGACGGTGCGCAGAGATGGGCCTGGGAGCCGTGCTGCGCGCCGGCGAGAAATTTCGAAAATGTGCCCATTCATAGTTTGTGCATTTTTGCGCCGCCGCGCCGCGATAAACATGCGCGCGCGCGCGCGCGTGCATGCGACGTGCGTGGGCCGCGAACACACATTCACGACTTTTCGAGTAAATCATCCGGTCATCGTGGCGGCGCGCTGGCCGCGGAGCGCACGCACCACACACGGCGCGCGTCATCGTCTTCATTTCTTCGCGGCATCGCGAGACCGACGACGACGACCAGGACGACGACGACGACGACAACCCGATGCTTGTTGTTGCCAAGGCGCGCACCACGTAATGAAAGAAGAAAAGTGGCGTATGGCGTTTATCCGCGTACGCGCGCGTCGAACGATCAATCATCGCCTCGGCGCGCACCACCATTGTTGCGCTTTTCGTTTTTCAGCGCCGCTCGCTCGCCGCGCGGTGGGAGAGTAACTCGCTTATTAGATTATGCGAGCGCCGCGCCGGCCGATTTAATAAACATTCTACTTATTCCCATTGAGAAAGAGACGGGCCGCGGCGCGCGGCGGCCGCGCGAAGAGCACGATGCCTCTACGTGATGGATGATTCACCAGCGTCCGAGCGGCCCTCCGCGCCGCCCGATAACCATCGCCTCTCGTCGTCCAATTATGCACCTACTGTGCGAATGCGCCGACCCAGCTCCACATTATTATGAATTTAATCACGGATTTATCGAAATCTATCTTCAAACATGCGAGTGGCCGCGATATTGTGATGCGCGCGCGCGCGCCGGCGTGTGTGTTAACACAATAAACGCGATAAAATATTACCGTTCGGTGGGTGTGCGCGCGCTCGCCCGGTGATTAATGACATTACGATTTTTATATCTTGTTGCGCTCGCACCGCGCGCGCACTCGCAGGCGGTGGTTAATCACTTGTTGCGCGCAATCCTAATGTGTAAACGAACATGTGTTCCCGTGTTGTCGGCCGCGCACGTCCCGACCCGAACGACTGCGAATGCGTTTTTCTGCCGCGCGCGCTGCTGCAGCCGCCCCTGCCGCCGCCACTACTACCCACCGAGAGTTATTGCAGCGGAAATGTACGATTTTCGTTGTTTATGCGCGCCGCGCGTGAGTAATGCGCGTGCGCGCCGCGCCGAACATGCTGCACAAAGCAGCGCGCGCGTCTAAGCCGCAATCCGCGGATAATTTATTCGGTTGTGCGGCGCGCTTTATTGATTCATAACTCATCCGTCGCCGCCGTCGTCGTCGTTGTGTCGCCGCGTTTCGTGAATGAAGAGCGGGGTCAGGCAAATGCTCGTTACCGCGATCGCTTCATTTCGGCATAAATCCACGCCGTTCGCACAAATTTTGTCATAACAATAATCATAAAACGTTAATGGCGCGCTTTATTCAGCGTCGTGCGGCGCGAGCGGTGCATGTCCGGCGCGCAGCCAGGAATTATTTTATTGATACGCGCGGCGTGGCCGGCCGTTAGCCGTTGGTGGTCCGCTCGTTCAACGAGGACGAGGACGACGACGACGACGACGATGCCCCGATGCCGATGCCCGACGACGCACTTACAACGCGTACGCGCACGATAAAGTACGCCGCATAAAATGTAAGACTCGCGGGCAGCGCGAAATCGCCGCACGGAGATGAACACACGCCGCCGCAGCATATCCTGGTGTGCGTGCGCCATCGTTAATAGAATTATTAAGATAACGACGTGCGGTTAATTAGTCGAGCAAGCCGAGTGTGAATGAAGACGGGCGGCCGCCGGCCCGCACGCACATTGACAATGTTTCTGATTAATTAAACGAATTAATTTTTGCTTCATCACATCACATCGCATCGAAGCCACGTTTTTCTCCGCGCGAGGAAGACGAAGAAATCTTCCAAAAACACCTTCGGAGTTTTTTTTTTGTTTTGGATTTTTTCTCCGTTTCGATCCGTTATTGCCGCGCTGCGGCTTTCAGTGGAAGGCGGAATATTTATCGCGTCTCCTACTGTGCACAATTAAAATTTTTCCATTCGGTGCGCTGCGTTGACGTGCCATTCGGGCTGCGCGGCGTGATTTACTTCTAAATATTTTCGTCCCCCATCATATTAAAATTAAAACTCATTATGTTTTCAGGCACCATTCGGGATGTCATACCGGCTGACACTTCTCCACAATGCCACAATGCCGAGCGCTCGTTCCCGCCGACATTGTTCGGCACAATGAATAACAATGAGCCGCTCGTTCGTATTTTGATTGCGATTAGGCCGCAGCGACGATTGGAGCGTCGTCTCCCAGCACGCCGTACGTAATCCTTCAATTTGCGCGTGTAAACGTTGCACAATGAGGTATCAATGACGCTCTCACCGCCGCCATTGCAATTACGCGGCAGATGCTACCGAAGAAGGGCGGCCGCATTGAAAAGGGTAATTTTATCCCTGGGTGAATCCCTCGCGTTGAATGGACGCACGAGGCGGACCGAAATCGAAGCGACGTGGAAAAAAGCGCAGCCGGGGATTGGCACCGCGGCGACACATTCGAGCGCATGAAAGCCGAACTAATGCGCAAATGACTAGTTACACGTTTAATGGATTCTAATGCGTTACGGGTCGTCGTCGTCGTTGTTGTTGCTGTGCGTGTGTGTGTGTGTGTGGTGATGGTGTTAATGTAAGCGAGAGCGCGCGCGAGATGCGCGTTTCGGGCCCGCGTGGGCGTCCACCGGGCGGCGGTATAAATTATGTCGTCGACGGGTCTCGTCGAAATCGATGGCGGTCCCATTCACTCGCTGGTCGCCGGTGAAAGGCCAAAGGTCGCACACTCGCACCGAGTGTTTTCGAGCAACACACACACACACACACACACCGAATGTAATCCGGCGGATTCTCGGCGTTCACCGCCACCGGGCCGGGGCCAGCATTAGCGCGCTGATCGTTCCGCTGTCATATATTTCTTCTCGACATAAAACTTTAGGGTTGAAGGCGGCCGCGCGGCCGGGCTGGTGCAGCTCATCAACCCCCCGTCGCGATTCTTATGGCGCGCTGCGACGCTGCATCCCGAAAAAGCGCTCGCGCCGACAAAGCGCACATTTAAATTGTAAACTACGACCGCGACCGCGGCCCAAGAGAGAGGGTCCCGAAACCAGCGCACCGAAACGATAATAACAACAAGATGTGGAAGTTTATTGGGGGGCAATTTAAAATAAAAGCGAGAAGCGGGCCCGTCGTTAAACACACAATGATTAAAAATTAGTTTAGTTTACACTGGCGTGTGTGCATGTGTGTGTGTGGATGTAAACGATGGGCCCCGATTTTTATTCCATGTTTTACTCCCCTTTTTTTCGGAATTTATAATCGGCCCCGGACGATCCAATTAACAAATTTCGAGAGAAAGACGACACGGACGCGAACGTCGGTGGATTTTTCTGTTGCGAGCAGCGCCTTCGGAACGCTTCAAGTAAGTAGGCGAACAATATAATAAAAACCGTTAAACTGTTAAACAATAAAATCGCATCGGACGCGCGAGGAGGAGCGGGCCGATGATGAAAAAATGAAGACAAAAGACGAAGGCACGAACACAAACAACGATAAAAACCGTGGCGTGTAGGCCGTTAAAACCGAAATGCCGAGCGCGCGGAGACGTGTGACAATGGAAGATTTCAATGCTGCAATCACAATCGCCGCGGAGAGGAAGACGACACGAGGCGAATCGATAGAGTTACCGCGAGCGCGCGCGCGCGCCCGCTCTCGAAATAAAAACCGAATTTACGGCCGTCATTTTTTTATTAATCGCGTCGCTTGTCTATAAAACTATTGCACATTAACATGCGCGCAGCGGTTATTAAACGCCCGGGCGACACACAATGTTGGTGGCCTACTCACCAACAACCCCCTGAAATGCCGGGCTCAATTGTTGTGTTTGCTCGGTGTGAAACGGAGTGCAAATACGCAAAATATAAATACTTGCACTCGAACACCTTTCGAGCCGGAATCGTTTAGCAGAAATCCGCACAATCGGCGCGCACGCACGCAGAAACGCGTTGTGTTGTTGTTGGAAGGTGTTCGAGTGGAAGCCGGAGCGGCTTTAACGGAAGTAGAATGGGAATAAAATTGTCACCCGCACACGTCAGTGGAGCAGCGCAGGCGCATCGGGACCACCCAGGCGATAGACGTTTACGCAAACTTTTACCGCGTCGGCGCGTCGCTGTCCTCCGCGCGCCTCGCTTACTTTTGCTTGTTTTCGTGTGTTTACGATTTTTATTTGCTTCTAATCTCCGGTGCGACGGGCGCATGGAGACCAGCCAGCGATAAAGAGACGACACCTTCGGTGGACGACACCTCGGACACGAATTTATCGACACCCATTTGCGTTGTTTCACCTTTTTTTCTTCTTCTTTTATTTATTTATTTTTTTCTCGCCTGGCTTGGTTGTCTTTTTCCGGTAAAAATCGAGGCGGGCCATATCAACGCATCGCCAAGTAGGTGGCACGTTACTTAGTGAAATTGCCGTGAAATTAACACGACTTTAACGCTTTCCACAGGCACACAGCTGCTTTTCAATTGCGCTCAAGCGTGTTCCGTACCCAGGGCCGACAACGACGAAGAAAGAAAAAAAAAATGAGCACCACGTAGTTTTATCCTTTTATCAGCCCGGTCGTTAGATGCGAAGTGGTAGGCAATGAAGTGCTCAATTTCAACGTCGACGAGCGAAGTAGTGCTCGCGCTCGAGTGCCCAAGCACGTAGGATTAATTGCACCACTTAACGCCCGGGACCATCCCGAAGAAGACGTAAGACGACGGCGCGCGGTGCGTGGAGGCCCCGATAAGCCCACACGCATTGCATTGCATTGCATGGATTTCCGCACATGTCGGGAAAATGCGCCCACGCGCGAAAATCACGCATGCGGCAGTTGATCAACGATGAGCAGCATCACCACCACCGTTTCGAGAGCACGAAGAAGATGATGACGAAGAGCGGCATGACGTCCCGCTAGTTTTCGATACCGCCCGCCGCGGGCCTCGGCGGCTAATGTTGTCGTCGCAACCGGGCCCGTAATGTCATTGTCGTCATTACGACGACACCGAAAAGGTTGCCTAATAGTCGAGTCGCATGCGGCGTGCAATCGCGGGCGCGCATCTCCGAGCCCCGCAACAAAAGAGTTACGAAAAGCCAGCGACACATGATAACAATGCACGGCACGCAGGTGAAAAATGATTGTTAAGTGTCAATATTCGCCGCGCGGCGAGCCGCGGGGCGGAGGAGAGGCGCAGGGGCGCCGCTCCCCGCCCGCCTGATTGATGACCGTTTGATGATAGTTTTTTTTTTTCGCTCGGCGGCCGCTTCACAAAATAAATAAAAACGAAATTAATGATGAAAATATGAAGATTCTGTCCGAATTGTTCCGCGTCCTCGAAACGCGAATGGAATTTCAACGCGCTTGACGTTTAAAATATCATTTATTATCTCTCCGCAGCGCAGTGGTGAAGCGAAGTGGTCTCTCTTCATAAATATTAATTACAAATCACGCATTTGGCGAAATAACAGTCACGACTCGCATTAGGCTACGGACGGGGATAAAATTTGTTCAGGTATTTTTTTTTCCATTTCGAAAAGCACACATTCAATCTGTTTCTCTCATTTTATTCAAATTTGAAAACGCATTGGCTATTGTCCCGCATTGATACCTGCATCACCCATTTTCCATTTTTGTTTACGGCTGCTTGCTGCTGCATCCATTCGGAATTCCAGTGCGCGCAGTGTTCATAATCACACATCATATTCGTCTGTTTGTAGGTAAATGCGAGGAGGGACACAAATAAACACACGCATGGAGGCGCGCGTAGATGAAGTAGAACACCTGTTAACATAAAACGCCTCGATTCCGGAGAGGAATTCGGCTAATTTACGATGATCCTGGCGCCGCAATAAAAAGGGCTGCAGCGCGCGTTTTTTAATAAATATTTTAATTTTATTTTCTCCGGGAGAGATTACGCGCTAATATATGTAAACGACGTGGAGCTGGGGAATTAGTCGTGAGAAGGGCAGCGCATTAATATGCATTCACTTTTATATTCCGTATATATTCTAGACTTTTTAATTAAAAATATTACATACATAAAAAAAAAGGAGATGCTCAAGTAGGGCATTATATTTACAAACCGTCCCACACACATTCACACGCGCACATCTAGCGCCCCGACACTAATTCTCTATTTCTATTTGGCTTTGCTTATAATGTTGTCTATACTGAAGTTCTGATTGTTGCCGATGAGGGTCGCCATGCCGGTGGTGGTGGTGCTGCTAGTGGATGATGTACCGCCGCCGCCGCCGCCGCCGCCGCCGCCGCCGCCTCCGCTACCCGTCCCGCCGAGATTATGCGTGAGGCTGTGTCTCCGCAGGTCGCAGTTGCGGCGGAAGACTTTGCCGCACGCGCCGCAGTTGTACGGCTTGATGTCGGTGTGGGTGAGCAGATGCGTCTTCAGATTGGAGCGCTGATTGAAGGATCGCGAGCAGACGGGGCACTTGTGCGGGGACTCCTCCATGTGCAGGATCTTGTGCACGGCGAGGGTGCGCGACTGGCAGAAACCCTTGCCGCACTCGGTGCACTTGAAGGGCTTCTCCTTGCTGTGGATGTATCTGGAAGCAGAGGAGAGATGCATGAGAGGAAGAAACGGGTCGTCGCGCGCGCGGCAGTGTTTATTACAACGCGCCGTCGCCTTTGTGCAGCGCCCTTTGTGCGCGACTGTTGTGAAAACTTGTCACCTAAAAAGATGTCGTGTCGCGACGATACGACGATATAATAAACACTCACTTTTGTGCGTCCGGCCGGACAAAAGCTCGGCCCGGACGGTTTTATAGGCATGGCCGGCGCGGGGAGGAACGCGTGTAACGAGCCCGAGCGAGGCAGTTAATGCTCGCTCGTAAACAAGTCGCAACGAGTTAATGCTTCAACACGTCGCCGGCGCGCAGCTTATTTTCTTATTTAACTCGCGAAATAAATAAAAAGAATGCCATCGCCTGCCCGGTCGCGATAAATATTGAGTGCGCGCGCGAGCGCATGTTTTCGACAATATTGTCTTCGCGTATGCGCGACGCACGTCTTCTGGGAACGTCCGTAACGCGCGATCAAAAATCCGTCCGTGCCCGAAAACGCAGCGCAGTCAATAAAGCGCGCGAAGAACAAAGACGCGCGCGCGGACCGTGAGCGACAACGAGGTGTTTACGACGTGTGAAAAATTCAGCTTTTTTCCAGCGCCGCTCAAACTGCAACGCTCAACTTCGTAATACGTAGTTGGGGTCCTAAAGAGACGTTAAATTAACGAATTACGGTCATAATAACGCGCTCGCTCAAAGAGCTTTCTGACAGTCCCGGCTTTTCCCTTGTTTCGTTTTTTTTTTTGCCTTCGCGCACGCTGTTAAACGTATTGTTAAACGCCGCGCTATTAAACGTTCATTTCGTGCTCGTTAGCCGACGCAAGTGTCTCTTTTTCCTCGTCTCATTTTTCTTTTTTTCTTCTTCTTGGTTTACCGGGCGCGCGCGGATTAAACATCGGAAATCGAAGCGGGATCATCGCATGCACGTGCTGTGGAATGTGATGCGTGAGGTGCGCTTGTTTGTCCACAAAGCGGGCAAATATTTACTTAGGACGTGTCGGCACGCGTTGGCGTCGTTTGTGCCGCGCCGACCCGAAAAAAGACAAAAGTCAAACACGCGACGCTAGAATCCACCAGCGACGCAGCGCGGCTCTCGCCGGCGACGACGCGCGACCGTATTTATCTAGAAATCATGCAAATTTCCGATCGTTCAACACCTCGGCCAATAACAATAAATTGGAGTTTATGTCGGGGCCGTGGCGCGGTGCCGCACGACGACGCGGCTCGTTGCGCTTCAGCTCGTCGTCGATTCAATTATCGCCTCTTGCAGTTTGTAAACGCATAAATTACACGCGCGCGCCCGCCGCACACGTGCCGCAGCGAAAATTTTAATGAAAATTATGCGCACGAAGAAGTCGGAAGCCGAAAAGGGGGCGTCGCGCACGCAACCCGATTTTATTGGCGTCCGCCCAAATGTGTGCACAGCGCGACCGGCCCCGAGGGCACCTCCACCACCCGGACGCGTGTAAACAATTTCGGATGCCTCCGGGATGACGAAACCGACGAAAAACAACACACAACTCTGCTGCTCCGCCGCTGCGGCTTGTTGTTGCCCGGCGCGATTCCAAATCGGAAATTTCGATATTCGCGTAGGCGGCGTGATTTATGCAGGCGTCGCGCGTTATCGTCTCGCGATTAAGTTTCATCTCGTATATTTTACGGCCGGCGCGCGGACGTCTCACTTAAAAACGGGCGAGCGAGGCGCGCGCGCGCGAGAGGTCCGAACAAGTTTTCGATGACAACGTCGTCCTTTTTTTTTTGCGGCGCGCGCGCGCGGATGGTAACAGCGCGACGAGCGCATCGGGGCCCGAATTCGCAACAACGTGATGACGGCCGTGGCGGTGGCATCATGCATTAGCCAAACAAAACCAACTCCACACGCCGCGCAGTGACGATAGGTGACTTGAGACTGCTCGCGTCGGGACATGCATGAGACAAGCAACAAAAGTACAACACAAAAATCTGGAAAACAGCAAACGAAAAAACACCTGTTTATCATCACAATGTGACAGTAAGAAGGGGTGGGGGTAGAGGTAAAAAAAAACTACTTGAGATAGAATCAAGGGATGTTTGTTTACCTATGATCTCGCAAGTGGTCCTGCCGCCGGAATGCCTTGCCGCAGATATCGCAGGAGTACGGTCGTTCGTCAGTATGGGTGCGCTCGTGGATGAGCAAATTGTAACTCTTCGTGAACTGCCGATTGCAGAACTTGCAGATGAACTGTTTCTTAGGGCGGGCAGATGTGGATGCAGTGGTGGTCTTCCCCTTGGCGGTGGTCTGAGTTGGGGTGACGCTTGTTGCGCTGGCGATGCTCGCGCTACCCGTTGGAGAATACAGCGGGTTCATGATCATCGACGGATAACTGGTGTCGATTGCCGCACTGGCAGCGTCCAGTTCACCATCGGCCGCATCGGGAAAATCTTCCTCGTTGTCTAACAACGCGAGGTCTTCTTCGACCTCTTCGGCAAGGTCCACATCTTCAGTGAGGGTTGTAATATCAGTGTCATGTGATTCCTGCCGCGTGTCAGCATCGGAATCCGTAATCTGCGCTGTTGAGGTGGCGATTTTCAGAATGTCTACCTTTGCGGGTTGTTGATGAGATGTCACCGAAGTTGTAAGTCGTTGTAGTGTAAGGTACGACTCCAGCGCTTGTAGATTCAATGCAGCGGCGGCGGCTGAATTCGCTGGTAATAACGCAGCTTGTTGTAATGAATTCATCATCGCGTTTTGTAAACTCAGCGCGACATTCTGAATACTGCGCTGTAGGAGTGTGTCCTGTAGGAACTTGAGATCGGATTTCGGTGACATGGCGGACGAGGTGCCGGCGGTGGCGGAGGCGCCCGACATGGATGATGTTGGTGAACTGGGCGAACGCACCGATAGGGATGCCACGGATGTCTGCAGCTGGGTGGCGGCCAGCGCGGTGGAGATCGCCGACTTGGATTTGGTCTTCTCGGCCGACTTTTCGCTCGCTTGCATTGTTCGGGCGATTGCACTGGTGAGTGAGGCGGATGAGGGCTCAGCGGGGGCGGCACTATTCACATACTTTGCGGCACACTGCTGCGGTAATTCGGCAACTGTTTTGTTTACTCTTCGCGGTGGCTGTTTTGAGTGCGGGCTGCGCGCGCTGCACCTACGTGAAATGCGCACCGCTCGCAAGACTGCTGCGTCTGGGTCTCAGGCAGACTGATCGACACTGACCAGACCTTCCGAGCAGCGGGCCCGTTCGCGCCGCTCAGGCTCGCCGCGCGACCAAAACCTGTCCGTTTCTCCTCTTCGCGTCTTCGCCGCGTTCGTTTCTCTTTGTGTCTTCGCGAGCGCGCGATTTGTTTTACTCGTTTTTTACGCCTGGCGACATCTAACGAGCATCTCGTCAAGCATACTTAAGTCACTTACCACTTAACATCACAATAACTTGATAAAACACAAACATATAAATCATATCAATTCTGTTTGTTATTAAACAAAGAAATTCAATATTTATTTATTTATTGTTGTGTGCAATTTGCACGTTGTTAATTAAAGGATTAAATAATCAGGTGGTGTCAATTGAGTGAAACTGTGAAACGAGCCGGGCAATAAAAAACACATTCGGGCTTTATGACGCGTATTGTCCTCGGAGTTCTTTGTGGTCTGGAAAATGATCAAGTTGAATCGGGCAGTTGATGATGTTAAATCACGTCTAACATTTCGCCGTGTTTGAATTTGTGCATCTCGAAATTTTTTGTCTTGTCGGAATTTTTATGATGGCTCGTCGAGCGCGCTTGTAGATGGCTATCTAAAACGATTTTTAAAGCCGTGGCTGCCTCCACGGAAAGGCGTTCGCCGTGCGATAAGGCAGCGACGGTCGAAAATTATGAGAGTCAATAAATGAAATACTACGAAGTAGCAATCGTCATATCGACCGCTGCGAACGCATCGGAGTCCCGTCGATCGCCGCGGGGTGGGAAGATTTGAAATTTTTAACATGTCACCACACGAACTAAAAGGCGAACAACAAAACAAAACAAAAAAACGGCGTGCGGTGCTGGACGCCGCACGAGAAAAGAGCAGCGTCAACGCGCGCTGGCCCCGAAGACGTCGTCTAGTGATGCCGGGGGGATGCTGGGGTCCGCGAGTGTATGCGTGTGTGTGTGACACATCGCCTCGCTTTTGATCGCCCCCTCGGCCCCGACATTGTTGCGCGCCAAACGAGGGGTGTAGGTGTCGAAAGCGGCAAGCCAGGCCAACCACCTGTTAATTTATCGCCGTGGCGCGGTTTTTCATCAAATCTTTTATTCATAATAATCGCTATCAAAGCGCTCACGCACGGCGGGCCAAGACGAATGGCATTTGGAGAAATGGAAAATGGAAGCCACTCTATCAAAAAGCAATGAAAAATGCGACCTCTAAAAGGGATGAGAGATGGGTGCCGCATGACGAAGGTGGAAAAAATACAAGACACCTGTCTTCACACTCTCAGCGAGCATTTTGGGAGCATCGCTGAGCGGTGCGCGCTTTCCGTGTAAGCGAACGAGAAACGTTTTGACCGCAGCACGTCATCTTATAAAAGGCAATATCTTCGGTAATCGGCTTTTGTTCGCATTGTGCACTTTGTTCACGCGCTCGAAGCGGGCGCAGTGTGAAAAAACGGCGACTTTGTCCCGTCACTTAAAGCGGCTTTTGTTCGCTGAAGCGGGCAGCACTCGCCGTTTACACGACTTTTTTTTAGGTAATCTTCGACTTTTTGAATAAACATATTTGTTGCGGCCGGCAGCGGCGGCGAGCGGGTGTGCGCTTTAATTAAAAAGCGGGTAGTGCGAGGGCTCGGCGCAGCACTTAATTAAAAGTTGGGAGCGTAATTTTTGGCGTTAATCGCCATCGAACGGATTTTCAATCAGTCCGGACTGACATTTTTCAAAACAAATGAGAGAGCGAAGGCTACCTACTAGCCGTTGCGCAATCTCCGAGCTCATTAACAACACCACCGAAACCACCGAAAACAAATCGGTAACGCAAGTAATTATCACAAATACGCGTGAGTGCGTTTTGAGGCGTTTTACCCACTCGCGCCGATGATCGGGAAGCAATTAAAATATTTCGGTGTAATTTTTCATGTTTTACTCGCCGACGAGCATCATCCAACCGCGTTTTCTTTGTATTTCGCTCGCCCGGCGCGAACCTCGAGCGATCACCATAGGGTTCCAGCTGCTCATCGACTTCTGCAACTTTAATTGCGTCTTTGCTCGGATCGAATCCGAATTCGAATTCCGGACAGACATCTGGGCTCCGCGTCCAGGACGTAGGTATGTGTTGAGCAAACACGTCGAAGGCGCTCGCATGTAAAACAAGCAACTGCTTTAAATTGTAAATTGGCCACGCAAACGATTTTCATATCGTTTACACGCGTTTTACAAGTGCGCGTAACGTGGTGCGCATTACCACGTCGAAACCATCAAATTAATCGTGCATAAAGTGCGTAACTGATATTAATTTATTCATTTTATTCATTAAAAGCGCAGCACGATAAATTCCACCTGGGCAAAGCACGGCGACTGTAACAGATGCACTCGATTCGCTCGGCATTTACATTCGAATGCGACTTTAATGACTTAAGCGACTCGCTGAGGATTTAATTTATGGAAAAAGCGGTTCCGCTAGCCGAGGGAGGGTTGGTAGTTGGCATGCCTACTTTTCGACCGCGCTACCGAGAAGTTTTCGTTTTCGCATTCTTTTACCCCTCGTCAACATATGAAAAATCGATGATAGACAAACGCGAGCGCGCGCGGGAGGAATGAAAGCAAGCGTCTGCCTGCGCTTTGTTGCGCAATTACACATCTTCGCGACTCTTGCGATGAATAAACATCTCCGGGAATTGGAAACGAGGCCGGGTTGGTTTCGTGCGTTCGGCGCGCGTTGATTTGTGAGTCGCACGCGATGATCACGCAGACGGCTGCGGAGAGGCGCGCGGCCGTGTGACGGGCCGAAGTCATTCGGATTCGCAGCGGGGGTGCGAACCGCGCCTAAGGCTACCGGTAATATATGACCGCCGCCGCATACCAGCGGCGCAGCCCGCGCATCGTCCCGGACTCCCAAACGCGCGCCATCAACATAAAGAGTAAATAACGACACTGGCTCGACGGTGGAGATAAGTCACCGTTTATGTGCAAACGTTGGCGCTCGTTACCGGCACGCAGAGCGGCGGCGGCGGCGGTTGCGGACCTGACATCGTGGTGGTGTGGTGGCGGCGACCGGCCGTCTGTGTTAATTTACTTCGTTAATTACCGGCGGTGGTGCGCACGGCGATTGCTTTGACATTCCAGCGTGCGGAATTCCTCGGCGGCTTTAATGACGCTTTTGCGCGCCGTCGATTTTTGCCGCGTCGCGGAGACGCATTAAAACCATAGCGAATGAGAATTGATGAGACCGCAGACCGTCAAACGGGACGACGTTTATAGATTTATTATATTAACATTTTTCCATTTCGGCCGTGGCGAAATTATCAGCGCTGAGAGCCGAAGACGACGACGACGACGACGACGGCGGCGACGACAACGAATCGATCGGCGCGTTTCTCATTTCGCGCGACCGCACATTTCCATCGGCGTTTAATAAATTAAGCGTGCGCATTGTTCCTAACGCCGATTTCCACCGCACTCATCAACTCAATCGGCCATTGTCGAATTGCGAATGACATGTCCGCATGTTGTGAAGCGGCATTTGCGTGTTGCATTGCGCATTTTTGTCGCGGCGCCCGCCTCGGAAAAATATTGAAATTAATGATGCGCGAGATGGAGCGCGTGCGTACACGCAGTGTGAGTAGCCGTGGCGTCCGACCGGCCGAACAATTAATGCGCACCATGCGATCGCGGCGCGCTAAGCGCACTTTTATTAAAACAGGCGCTGCGCCGCAACTGGCCCGCAACAACACACCTATTAGTTATTAGCTGCGGCCGGCGTGGAGATCTTGTTTCCTCTCGATATGGGGCTGATTTTCCAATCAACTACCTACTTAACTCGCGCTCGTCGGGCCGCGTCACGGCGCTGGATTATTAATGAGTGCATGCGGGGCCGGGGACGCGCGCGCGCACACAACCGTCTCATTAGTGCGCGGGGCTCGGTAATAATCAATGACCGCGGACGGGCACGTCGAAGGGTTAACGAAACACGGGAAAAAACGACCGAAAACGAAACGGCGCCAATTAAGCGCGCGCCGGCAGGGGGTCTGCGGAGACGCGGACCCGAACGCGAAGGGCTGCCAATATATCATCGGCGGTAATTAAGCCCTGAACGCTCCCACTAGCTCTCGGAAAATTGCTTAGTTGTAACGGCTTGAATGCGGTGATACCGTGGCGCTGAGCGGAAAGAAAAATGTCAATCACGCCGGCGCGATTTGTGATTTGACGTGATGTGAACGCATGCCGTTTCCGTTTCGGCTGTCTCAATGTTGTGCTTCGATTGGCGTTCTGATTGTCCGTAAATGTGGGAAAGGAATTCCGTTCGGTTAATCGCTCGGTCGCGTGAACATGAGACACATGCAAAACGCATAAACGACACGCGATGCGCCCGCCCGCCCGGCGCGCAGTGATAAATTTCACCTTTCGCTTCGCGCGCGCGTTTTTTTTTGCGCCGCCGGCAGTGGTGGCGGCCGCGCGCGCGGTCACACTTGCGCGCGCGCTGTCGCAATTGTTTCGGTTTCCCATGCCAATTACGCGTTTTTAATCATGTAAATTCGTGCGGCGCGCGGCGATCGCGCCAAAGCGATTTGCCGCCTCGGGGTGCTGCGCGCGCTCGCGCGTTTTTCGTGCGACGCCGGCGGCGTCGCGATTCTAATGCCGGGCGTCGCGAGGTGCGAATCGCGACCCGAACTGGGCCAGCGCGTTACGGTTACGGTGCAGAGACCCGCGTGTGCGATACCGCGCGCCGCGATGCCAAACCGGGGTCCGGCAAAAGCGTGAGAAAAACGGTTTCGAGGCGCGCGCGCGCGCGCGTAAGTCTCGCGCTCGCCGCCGGCAGCATCGCTTTCGTCGATGCCCGACGCGCCCCCGACGTCCCCCGCGCGCGCCTGCACGTCGAAGGCAAAGCGCGGCTAAACGCCCGACTCCGGCCCCGACCCAAGATCGTATACTATAATTATCCGTTTGTTAGTCATATAAGTTCGATCGCGCTCGAATTGAGCCACGGCACACAACTCTCCACCGAAGATGAAGAAAATGCGAATGTGTAGCCGCATATCGTCGCATGAATATTTCATAAGTACGCGCGCTGTTACAATTTGTCAACGACTACTTCTGTGCGCCTCTTCCATTCGCGTCGCCGTGCGCTGCGCCGCCTCGTGTAAATCTGATAAATATTTATACGTTTTCATGAAATATCGTCCGCGATGACATTATTTATGGCCGTGTGTTTATTGAAATTTCTTGAAAATATATCTG